CATCATTAAAATTTACCAAGGTTTAAATGGTTAAACCTTCCAAAAGCTTTCCAGGGTCACTGCAAAATGCTTTATTTGCCATTCATACTTCTGTAGTTCTGGTGGAAAATCCGTCACTCCTCTTGTTATATTGCTTGTCTATTAAGATGTCTTCGTCATTTCCTGTGAACAGATTAGAACAAAACCACTTCCTGACAGCTTAGTATCAGCTGAAACATTTAGTGCAGACAGAGCTCACTGGCTTGGATAGACATAAGAGCATGGTGACATTCCCTTTGTGCCATAAAGGGTGCTACCATCTTTCACCTTATTGGTATAGACAATGATGGCGTGTCTGATTAAGTCTTCTTATCTTGCGCTTTAGCCTTGGCCTGTTAGTTCTCTGTGTAGCAGTAAGCCTCTTGGCCATCATAGAACAGAGACATTGCCAGCAGTGTGGGCAGTAAAGACAAAGCACACACCTCCTCCAGTAACCACACACGCGGCCTGTCACTGCATAGCTGTGAAATGTCGGCCATGCAGTTGTTCTGAGGCACCACTCACGCAGAGAGGAATGCTAAATGCTCGTTGACTTTGCCATTTGACCAAACATAACTTATCACTTGGTGAGTGGCATAGTTTTAGGGCAAACTTAAGACCAGATCTGAAATCTTACCATTCTAATGGACTCAGATCTCACCTTCATGAACGCAATCACCAAAACAGCCTTGTCTCATCTTAATATAGATAGAATGAAAGGTTTGGTGTCCCAAAAAGACATAGAGAAACTCATCCATGCATTTATCTCCAGCAGCGTGGACTCCTGTAATGATCTCTTGACTAGACTTTCCCTATAGACTGTTAAACAGCTGCAGCTCAATCAGAAACCTGCCACAAGAGGAGCCAGGAATAAGAGAATAGTGCACATTATGCCAGTTCTAAAACCTTTATGCTGGCTTCAGGTTAGTTAGAGAATAGATTTTATTCTGTACGTGGAACCAACTCCCAGAATAACTTACATGTGCCCCAAATGTAGCGATTTTTAGAATTCAGGTAACATTTCCTTTTTTATGTGTCCACACTTCCCTTTTTCCATAATTGAGCTCTGAGACTTTCACTTTATTCTTACTACATTTTATTTTTAGCATTGCATAGTTAATAAGCTAATTCACCTTTAATAAGCTAATTTTAATGATATACTTATTTTGTTTTTATTTACTTTGTACTTGCTTTTGTCTATTTTATTTCTTAAAGTTTTTACATAAAATCTTTTAAGCACTTTGCTTCTTTTTATTGTATTGTTTCTCACTCTTAAGCACTTTGTCCTTATTTACCTTTTGATGTTCTTATCACTTTTATTTATGTAAAGCACACTGAATTGCCTTTGTATATGAAATGTTCCATGTAAATAAATGTGCCATGCCTTGCATAAGTTCTCACTTCATGTTTTAAACCCCGTTAAAAATATGTTCCTCTTATGTTACTTTGTGACCATGATAAACAGTAAATGTGATGTTTACATACTGCTTTATAATGAAATTATTTAGTCATTATTTTTTGTGCTGTATATGATGAGTGGTACACTGTACATCACAACTCAGAATTCATAATCTGTACCATATTTTGTACCACATACCACATTGAATTTGGAGTGTTCATGTAACCCTAAAGGCCATGGCACACTGACCCAACATTCTCCATTAAACACCAACCTGATATTGTTTGGCTACTCTAGTGCAGTGTTTGTAGTGGGTCAAGGGCCAAGAAGACAAAACACAAAAATCAGTAGAAGGTTGGTACCATTTAAGGAAACATTGGTAGGAGGTTAGTACCACAGAAGGTCAGTACAGTAAAAGAAGAAATCAATAGAAGAAGGTCAGTACAGTAGAAGAAGAATCAGAAAAAGGTCAATGCAGTACACTTTAAAAAATGTATATTTATATGCAATCTACTGTAAAATTCTGTGTCAGTGAATACACACATCCCACACACAGAATGTTTTCCCACTATTTACAATGTTCTAGAATGTTCTTCCCTAATTCACCATGTCCTGTGGTGACTAGATTTGACCCGGAGCGTTCCTGTTCTGGATCCTTGATGTAAGTTTCCGTCATGGTGTCACAATGTCAAGACATTGCAAATAATTCCAACTAATGATGAAACACAATTTACACAATTTATATCGGTTCCTCCCTGTAGGAAATGCTGATCTAAATAATTTAAATGCAGACTCGGCCGAAATAAGCATAATAACTTCCCAAATTTAGATGAATGGCTTTTATCAATCTGCAATGATGGTACTCCATTAGGCAGCTCTAGTTGAAGATTATTCAGCAGTAATATCTTTAGCGGTCTTGCAATAGAGCTACAGTTGAATTTCCAGTTTTATGGATAAAATAAGAATCTACAGTCCACATTTTGCTGGACTGGTCCTTGAATGAGTGAAACTCTAAAACTGACCTTGGTCAAGTTTCTGAGAAAGTGTCCTAAAAAATCATCAGGTAAATCACTGACCATATGACTGTATATTATTGTAAACACTCTGTAAACACTCTTACGCTCAGCACTGTGATGATGGGGAAAGCGGTTCAGACTATTTGAACTGAGCCAAAGTGCCTTTGTAAGATCCCAGGAAAGTTCCAGCACACTGTCCACAAAGCTAAGTGTCATGATTTGTTGTACTTGGCATGGATAGGCGCGCAGTGAAAATAGCCGCTGTCTGTGTCCATGTCAACAGTAGGGTCTTCAACAAAGAGTGAAAGGGACGAAGGCCTCCAGGACATTACAGCAGATGATTTGCATCATGTTTTTACTCAAGTGTAAACCTCTCACAACAGTGTTAGCATAACCAGCTTGAGGGCCACCTCCAAACATTTGGCAAGAAACGGCCAAACAGCTATGAGCAAACCTAAAAGCAATATGCTGCCTCTGGTTGCTTAACCTCAGTGATGAACACATGTGAAGTGGTCATAAACATATTTTATCATTTTACAAGTAATCGTATCTAATTTTTTTCATACTCATTTTTCCCTTGGAGTCAAATAAATGTACAGCAACCTCTTACTGTCAGGTCCATAAGTATTTGGACAGTGACATGATTTTTATTTTGCCTCAGTATACCACCACAATGGATTTGAAATAAAACAATAATGATTGAAATGTAGACATTACACTTTAATTCAAGGTTTCAAGAGGTAATTCAAGAGGTTTAATAAAAATATTTAGAAACTACACAGCTGTATTTTACAAAGTCCCTCCATTTTCACAGGCTCAATAGCATTTGGACAAACTACCATAATTCTATATACAAGGATGATTTGTAATACTTGGAGGCAAATCCTTTGCATTCAATGACTGCCTGAAGTCTGGGACCCATGGACATCACCAATGCTTTACCAGGCCTTCACTGCAGCCGCCTTCTTTCACTGCTTGTTTGTAGGTCTTTCTGCCTTCAGTTTTTTCTTCAGTAAGTGAAAAGCATGCTCAGTTGAGTTGAGGTCAGGTGACTGACTCGGCCATTTAAGGACATTCCATTCCTTTACCATATGAAGCTACTGGGTTGCTTTTGCGATTTGTTTTTCATTATCCATGTGAAGTGCTATCGGTTTTGCAGCATTTGACTGAATCAAAGCAGAAGGTATAGCTCTATACACTTCGGAATTCATCTTGCCCCTTCTATCAATAGGCACATTGTGAATACACACCAGTGATCCAGTTCCACTGGCAGCCATACATGCCTAAGCCATAACACTGCCTCCACCATGTTTGACAGATGACGTGGTATGCTTTGGATCATTAGCCCTTCCTTTCCTTCTCCATACTCTTCTCTGCCAATCATTCTGGTACAAGTAAGTCTTGGTTTCATATGTCCAAAGAATCCAGAACTTGTCAGGCTTTTTAAAATGTTTTCTAGCAAAGTTTATCTGACCTTTCTGTTCTTGAGTGTCACCAGTGGTTTACATCTTGATCTCTTAATTGTAGTCTTTGACAATGATACGCCAACCTCCTCTAGAGTGTCCTTGACTTGATTAGATATTATAAAGGGGTTTTTCTTCACCACGGAAAGAATTCTGTGATCATCCACTTTAGTTGTCCTCGTGGTCTTCCAGGCCTTTTGGTGTTGTGGAGCTTGCCAGGGCATTCCTTCTTGTTAATAACGTGCCAAGTTGTTGATTTGGCCACTCTTAAAGTTTGTGCTATCTCTCTGATATGTTTGTTTTGTTCTTTTCAGCCTGATGATGGCCCTCCTCACTTGCATCGACACCTCTTTGGACAGCATAAAGAGTGTTTCCATGAACAGCTACCAAATACAACACTTGGAGTCAACTCCAGAAATGTTATCTCTTGTCAGGAAATAACGAGGGACCAGGCCACACCATGAAACTGCTTATTGGTCAAATCTGTTCAATTACTTTTGAGCTCATGAAAATGAAGAGATGTGTAAAAAGTGGCTGTAATTCCAAAACTGTTAGAGCAATATTTTTGTTAAACCCCTTAAAAAATGAGGTCTACATTTCATTTCATCTTGACTGCTTTATTTCAAATCCACTGTAGTGGGGTACAGAGGCAAAATTACAAAAATTGTGTCACTGTCCAAATACTTATGGACCTGGCAGTAGTTCGTTAACTGGAAAGTGTCTTCATTACCATTGATATTTTATCAGATACCTCTATATAAATGTATCTCTATGGTTATTGAAGATTTCAATATGTTTTGTGTGGACAGTTGTCACAATGAATGAGATGTAGCCCAGGTCTGTTTCTGTTATTGTTCACAGGGTAATTTTAAACCAGTTGTTTTCGGCCGGTTCCTAAAACCCAGTTTTAAGTCAGCAGCAGAGCGTAAATGGGGAAACGTGTGGCCTACACGCTTTTCCACTCGGCAGATGCTGAAGCTGAATTGCCAAACGTAGCGGTTTGTGGCTTGCTTGAGTTCGGTAGTCCATGACGCATGCGCAGTGGGCGGGAAGAGAGACGTGGTGAGGGCGAGAGAGAGAGAGAGAGAGAGAGAGAGAGAGAGAGAGAGCGCGAAGAAAAGAGGGGGTTCTCTGTCATCACACACACTTCTGCTCCGCTCTTTGGAAAGAAAATTACGATGAGGTTTTGCTACAGAATAGCTCTTGCCTTGCTCCTCGTATACCTCTTCGAGGATAGCGTTCTGGGTAAGTACTTTTCTTTTTCTTTTTCTAGTCTCATTTCTGTTGTCAACTTTTTTCATTTTCTGTAGCCTACATACATTTTCTCCCTCATGTCTCACGAAATGAAAAGAGAGAGAAAACAGACAACATTGGTCGCGTGTTAAAAATGAAAAATAAAATCACACGTTTGAGCTGCCACAAGTGACTTTAACGTACACATTCCTGATAACGGGTTATATCTACGTTTGTACGAGCCTAAATTATCGAATTAATAATAGCAGTTTTGTCACTCACCCTTAGTTAGGCTAGTTTAAGTCACTTCAGCCCAGCCAGTGTAGGGAAGTCAGCAGTGACGTTGTTTAATAAAGCTACAGATCTATAGGCTTAACTGTACAGATCAATATATATGTGTATATTCGCTGTCAGACCAAAATCTTCTATCTTCAAAATGATCCAAATTCATCATTAATTTTCATAGTTTAAAGGGCAGCTGGTATTTTTAAAAGAGCTTAAATTAAAAACGACAAAAATGGAGATCCAAGGTTTTGTCTATATATATATATACATAGGACAAAACCTTGGATCTCCATTTTTGTCATTTTTAATTTATATATATATATATATATATATATATATATATATATATATATGTATGTATGTATATATATAGGAGAGAGAGAGAGAGATGCGTATGTATGTATTGGATATGTTTGAAGTAAGGAGGGATTTCCTGACATCCTCTCTAATCATTATTTTCATCTGATTGAATTTAGGAGCCCCTACAACAGGCAGGTTTAACTGGTTGAACTGCAAACCTGATGGCAAAGATGCAAACTGTGTCCATAAGCAAGGGCCTTTGCTTAAGCAACCAAAAGACATGTGAGTACTGTGTCATTATTACTCTTTTTCACTGGAAACTAAGGGTTCAGACAAAGGTTGCATCACTTTCTGACAAGAGTATGAGTTTTGGGGGGAGTTGCTTCATGTTGTCATTATTCTGTTCCGTTATTAAATGGCATGACTTTGTGTTTTTCCATGTAAAACCATAATAACCTGTGCCTCACCAGCCAAACAACCTTTTGGGCATCACATTCCACTAAGGTCTGAGTTTCACAATGAAGCAGACCTCCTTAGGTGAATGACCAGTCAGACTTGTGCAAAAAAAAATTGATGGATGAGTGGGCCTTTATTACTGTCTTGAAGAAACTTTGTGATAAAAGAGGAAGACGGACTTTACGTCTTCGACAGGTCTTAACAGATTGTATTTTTTTACTATTATAGTAAGATAACTATTACTATGAAGGTTACTGTTACTATTACTTTTAAAAGATTATAGTATGAAGTTATTACGTCAATGCTGAACATTTCTATCCGGGAAAAACGTCGAACCATGACGAATGTAATGGCCGGAAGGCGAACATAAACCATTAGATGGTTTCCTCCTCAGTGTGTACCACACACAGACTCTGTCCGTCACTCAGACAGCGTCTGCTAGAGAAGACTCTGAAAGAATGATTTCAGAACACTAAATTTTGTTGCAAAATATTGTCCTTTCTACCTAGCACGTCAGGGGCCTTTTCTACCCTTGCTTCACTCATTATAGTGATGAAATTAACCACAAAGATTGCTATCTGCTTTATTATCTTTCTTCCTGTATAATGCGTCAGCACAGAAGTCAGTGCCTTTTATGGGATAAAAACAATATTTTCTTTTGTAGAAAAGCCATAGCCTTTTTTAAAGTATAGTTGATTGCTACAATACCTTGAAAATGTATTAGAAATTCTTACCCTTTGTTTATGAAGGATATTGAAATTCTAAATAAAGAAAGAAAAAAGAAGATTAGGCAAGACAAGCAGCTCATCACTGGAAATCTGTTTGTATGTTTGCACACATATGGGTGTATATGGATGTAAAGATTTTCATTTTTGGCCAAGCAAACCAAATGCGTGCTATAGTTGATTTGAGGACATCTTGATTACGTTTTATTTCTAAATGCTCTAAGATCAACACTCACATTCTCTTCTAGTTTTTTTCATGTTATGCAACATAATGTTGTTGGTCCTTTAACTCTGCACACATGCCAAGTCTGTGTTGCAAACACAATAATTACAATTCACTGTGCAGTTCTGTCATTTTGGAGCTATATTGTCTGAACATAGTAGACTAGCACAGACATTTGACAACAACAGGTGCTTATTTATTGTTGGTTTTGACTGTCTGAATTCCTAACAGAGCATTATCTCATTATGTGTCTTGACTGTCCAATTGCTTTTAAAGTGATAACCTGCCGTTTTGACCTACTGTCCACTTTTTCAGTGAAGTTTTAGTAAATGGTCTGCTAAAACATTGCAGTGCATTAAAACAAAATGTTCCACATGCAACACCTTTTCCTCTTTGTTGCTTTTTAGAACACTTTCTGTTTCCCGTTAAGGCACTTTTTTAAAAATCTGAAGCACTTAGTTCACTTTCATATTGGTAGTTTCTGCTAGAGCACACTTGTTTGTTGGCTTCAAGTGCTTTGTTCTCTGAACAAAGCACACAAAATGGTGGACTGGGCAAGGAACATTCCTGGCTGCTTGAAAAAAAAACGACAGGAAGGGCGAAAGGATGTCGGTTCACTTTGGCTCTGTGCTTCTGTTTTTCCTCCAGAGTTCCAGTGGACAGCAGTGAAGACACCCCTGAGACAGAAACAGAAGAGCAGTCTGGAGAAAGCTCTGGTGATCTGGACCCATTTGACACTGTGGTGAGGAAGGATTGGATGGACGATAGTCCAGTTCAGGCGATGGCACAGGACGAGGCCAGTGGTGAGATTGATTATTCAAACTACGTATCTCCTGAGCAAGTGGAACCAAAGCTGTCTGAAGAGGATTTGAGAAAAGATAACATGATCCAGTAGAAGGCTGCCATGTGCCGTGTGTTTTCGATGTCATTCAGGTGTCAGAAGCTCTTTTTGTAAGGACTCTCAGGATAAGAGGCCTTAAAGTCCCTATACTGCTTTGTTTCTTTTTCTGTTTCTATTTGTCAGTCAATGAATTGAATGATACGAGAAGTCTAGAAACAGACTGCTCTGTGATATATGTTGCATATTGAGCAATACAGTGTGAATTATTGTGATATTGCACAGCATTAATCGGGAGCTAATTATTTAATACCCATAAATAATTTTCAGTGTTAATAATTTAATATAAAATTTTGAAGAACCTATACTTCACCAAAATATGACACATCTGTGTTGAACCATAATGTCCGGTGAAACAAAATAAAAATATTTAATATTTAAATTGTCAAGTAGAGAGTATTTAGGAGTGGAAACTTTTAATGGTTGATATCAGACAAAATGCTAGTATAAAAATGGAAACAATGGAACTATAAATATGTTTTTACCTTTTGTGCCAATTTTATATTTTTATAAATGCTGTTTAACGGTTGATGTTTTGGGACCAAGTGATGTGGTGCAATAGCTATTTTAACATTTGATGATATTACTGTAATACAAAATCATTCAGCTGTAATCAGTAGTCTAAATGCTGGAAATGACCAAAACAGATCTGTAACATAATACATTCTCGTATCTGCCTCTCATGAGGCAGCATTTTCAACTGTATTTTATTTGCCAATTAAAAGTCTTCCTTCACATCTATCATTTTTTTCTTTTGTGTCTTGTGAATACATTGCAAACAATCAAGTTTCACACTTTTCACAAACTGAACTGTGTTACAGATACACTGCTAACACTGTTCTGAGAGGCAAGGAGCGGACTGTATTGTGAAATAAAATGGCGATCATACTGAAGTATATTTCTCATTAAGGCTCGTCATCAATGACTTGTTCTTTCCAGCTGTAGTTAGATCATTTATGATGATTGATTTGTCATATGACCTGTCCAGTGCACTTGGAAAGAAAAGTGCAGTGTCTTCAGACAACGCATCACACTGTATACATGACTCGAACACAAACTGGCTTCTCTGTGACTTCCTGTTTTCACCGAAGGGGTGTTATCACACTTTCAGGCTGAGTATCTTTAGCAAGTTTCCTCTGACATCAAATTCTCGTGACCTGTTTCGCGACGCTCATAGAAAATTGTGCTGTTCTAGCATACAGCAAATTTAACAGCAGAAAGAAAATGAGAGAGGAAATGTGTCCTGGTTTGATGACAAAACGGGTATTTTCACTCAGTGGTTTTCTATTTACTGGGTGCTATTAAATGTCATTGAACAGGGTTTGTGTTACATTTAAACAATTCACAGAATGTATTTACAAATTGTGTACAGTCTTTTAATTTAAAATCTTGTACAGGCACACAGACTCTCCAGAGGAATGTAAGAATATGTTACTGTTTGCAATTTAATCTGTGTTGAGGATGATTTCCAGGAAACAGTACAGTTTAGACATTCGTCACTGCTGTGTACGGTAATGTGCAAAAGTCTTAGGCACCTAAGGAAGTTGCTTAAAACTATTTATCTGGGTAGAATGTGTGTTTTTGCCAGTGAAAACACTACATAACATTAGAATAAATACAAATAACATTAATACAGTAAATGTAACTTTTACTGTATTTTTGTTTTCCAATAAAGTACTTGATGTCTTCTGAGCTGCTTAGAAGGTTTGTTTCCAGGTTTCTGGCCTTGATGCCCCCAGCCATCACATTGATTTATTAAATTCCATACGTATTGGTTGAGTCAAAGTGGGTATTGAATGGTAACTATGTATAATACTGGGCTTCCTCGAGGAGAGATTTGGAAATGGTTTAGCAAATATATTGACGTAAGTAAAATCACTACTTGGTATAATATTATCTGTATTTATTCTAATATTAGTGTTTTTCTAAACAAACATATTGCCAAGTTAAATAACTTTTTACCTAGGATTTTCTTAGGTGCCTAAAACTTTTTCACAGTACAAAAGTCAGTAGTATATCTGACTACATACCAGTATATCAGTATATCTGACCAGTAGTATATCTGACAAGTAGTATATCTGACCAGTAGTATATCTGACCAGTAGTATATCTGACGACATACCAGTGTATCAGTATATCTGACCAGTAGTGTATCTGACCAGTAGTATATCTGACGACATACCAGTGTATCAGTATATCTGATGACATACCAGTATATCAGTATATCTGACCAGTAGTGTATCTGACCATTAGTATATCTGACTACATTCTAGTTTATCACATACCAGTATATCAGTATATCTGACCATTAGTATATCTAACTACACACCACATTTTGCCTACTTTTGCTAGTTTGATCTGAGGTCATGTAACCACAGCATCCTCTGCTGAGCTACTCTACTGAAAAGAGGATATGTACAGAGCCCCTAAGGGGCTGTGGTTAAAAAAAAAACAGTAATAGCATTGCGTTCCATCGCAAAAAATGTTGCATTTTCTTGCAAACACAATGGATTTTGCAAGGGAATGCAAAATTATTGCAAGTGAACGCAATGCTGGTTTTTGTTCCACAATGGTACTTCAGGAGCTCAGTAGATAAGAGCCATCTATTAGCAACAGGTAATGGATCATAGCAGTGAAGTTACATGGCACAGCTTTTCTATGAGACTGTTAAAACAGCAGCAATATGACAATACAAATGTTTCACTATTGCGTATTAAGAGTTCATAATTAGTTTACCAATTACCATTACTTTTTGGCCACCATGGCCAAATTACCTTTCTGTTTACTATAGCAACAGTCAACTGACAATATACATGTATTGTATGTTACGCTGAAAAGTAGGCCTCAGTTTGAGGGGATGCAAGGGCATGCCGTCACCCTGGTGAAAAAATAAATAAATACATTATTCTTCCTGTAAAACTACCACCCCCACTTAATATATTTGGATGAATGTTACATCGTTCAAGATGTCTGTTTGTGATATTGTAATTCCATCCATGATTGAGATTTACACACCTAGCTGCTTTGAAGATGTATTAAAGCCAATGACAAACTTCACAAAGTCTTTGTATGTTTGTCAGATGTTTATTGTTTGCTTTCGAAATCAGCTGCAGTTGATAACCCAAAATAAGAACATGCCCTTTAAAAAAAGTCTGATTATTGCTGTGTGAACAATGTAATTGCAATGTAAAATAATGAAAGACAAGAGACATCTGAAAAATGCTTTTTGTCCTGCCCTAGTAAGCAGAGCTACGACTCTTAATAAACCCTGATTTCACCATCCCCCTTTAAAATGTTTTACAACGCAACCACTGGCAGTACGGGGCCACAGCTGGATGTTCTTTAGCCATTCACAAAGACTCCTGAGCTCCCTCTCTTACAGGATTTCCCTGACAGGGCTATTTCCATGTCTGGTTGACACTTGCATTAGTTTCTGCTTTTCACTCTATACTTTTTCCAGCTCTGGGACAAGGAGGCTTCAGCCTGAGCTTCAGTCTCTGCACCAGTTGATAAGCAGTTGATAGCAATGCTGGCTTTGCCTTTAGGGTCCCTTTGTTGAATTGTTGAGAAAATACTCCTTTAGTTGAAGATTGAAATAAGAAAAAAATATGAATGGATCTTTAATGGTCTATAATGCTTATAATTACATATTTATTTTATTTAGACCAAATAATTTAATCTTTGCAGTGTTTTACTGGTATTGTTCTTCACTTTAAGATGTTTTAACTAAAATAAAAGTGTCTATAATGCTAAAAATACAATAACAATAATTAATAACGAATAGTATTCATATATGAAAAAAATAAACACAACACAGCCAGTCTAGGATTTCATTTGTGGTTTATTCATTAGCATGATTAGCATGAAAAAGGCCAAAAAGAAGTCAGTCAGCAACCCTTACAGATCTATAGTAAGTCTACATGCATTTCAATAGGATTCCTGATATAATCTTATTGTGAACTGGGACAGTTGCTGTAGTTTACTGAGGATTCCACACAAATATGATAGAGTACTGTAAGACTAACGGAGGTGAATATTATACGCAGGTGGAATTTTTACAGATTATTATAGAAGTAGTATAGAGTACAGTAGAAATCTTGCAGTTTCTCACAGTATTATATTACAGCTCTTAAGGGAACAAAATACAAAACGGCCGAACTTTCAGATCCGACTTTTGTTTTGAAAAATTCCAAATTCATTCCTAATGTTTTCAAGTTCAGAGGGAGAGAGAGAGAGAGAGAGAGAGAGAGAGAGAGACACTCTGACTGACTCACTAAGGAAGAGAGGGAGAGAGAGGGAAAGGGAGAGAGAGAGAGAGAGAGAGAGAGGAAGAGAGGGAGCGAGCGAGTGAGTGTTGCTGTGGGTCCAAGCACGGTGCTGTCGCTGGGACTGTACGACGTTAAGCCGAAAACCTGCTGAAATGGTGCGTTTATTGAGGAAAGTGCACTGACCGCCCATCATGCATGTACATACTGTAAAGTATTTTATTCAGAACAGCAGCAAGAGAGAAAACCCGCTCTGTTTCTCCATTCCGCTCACCGTGGAGGAAAAGTGGCCAAAACAAGGCCGGGCAGGAAAGTAGAGACAGATTTGAATGGGTGTGGATCCCGGTGCTAACGTTAGTTAACGCTACTCGGCTATAAATTCTCACTTCATCCTTTAAATCCAGTGTAACTGTTTGTCTTGTGTGAAAACAGATATAAGCGCTTAGCGACTGTTAGCAGTGAGTTATTAACTCCTTTCGGCGTGTTCGTTTAGACGCTAAACAGAGATTTTAGCCACCCGTTAACCTAAATGTGAGGTATGTGTTAATACTAACTTATTTATGCTACTGAATTACAGATTTCAGAACTATTACTTGATTTTATTTATGTAAAATAACTGCATTCAGGCGAGTGAGCGCCCTAGTGCACTTCATAGGTAAAGCTAGCGTTAGCTGTGCCAGCAAGGTTAACTTAGCTTATCTTAGCTTAGCTGGCTGGCTGCTACAAGCAATGCAGCAAAGTTAGCGAGATAGCTAGGTTAGCTAGCTAACGCTAACACTGCTCAAGTCTAGCTGTCAGTGTGCAATTTGACGAAGCGGTTAACATCTATTAACATAAATACACTCGCAACGCAAATTTCGTTTTTCTGGTTAGACATAAAACTGGACAGAAGCAACGTTGCCTGACGTTCGCGGTCCGAGGTGACAGTTACAGTAATCATAATAAAAGCTGTTCTGCGGGGATCCGAGGCAGGAATATAAAAGCTGTCTGCCTGGGATGTTTGCGGAGTTATTTTGCTGTCGTGGGTGAAAGGTTTCAGCTTTAACAACGAAACAAATGAAAATTTAAGGATGTGTATGTTGTACTATTGAATTGGGATTATAATTTAAAGAGGAATTTCTCGGCATAATTCATTCGTTGAGATGTAAACAAAGTCATAGTGGTCTGATGTAAAATGGTGCATTGAAGAGAAACTTGCAGACTCAGATTTCTTTACAGTGGTGGTGATAATGGGAACCAGTGAACCTACACGTGTCTTCTGAATTTTTATATATATATATATATATATATATATATATATATATATATATATATAACATTGATGATATCTTTGGGTTCTGTTTTGCCTTACCCTGGCATGTAGCTCTCTGCCATGAATGGATTTAAAAATATGTTTTAGGCCAAAACTTTATCTCAAAACTATTGTAAAACAATGTTTCAGGCATTCTAGAGAAGCAGACTGACAAACATTGTCATAACCATTTCATGCACACACATTCTGTGAGGTAGCTATTAGAGACATTAAACACTTCAGAGGTCTGGTTCCTCTACAATTGAGCATTTCATATAAAAAAAAATCTGAATGACATTGACAATGTTTACATCTACATACTATTAATTATTCACAAATTTTGAAAAATCAGTGGAATTCCCTTTTAATATGTTCACTTGTTATAGAGGGATTTCTATATACATGGAAACCGAATAAGGGTAGCTTGTCATATAACTTGTATCTAAATACAAAGTTACTAAATGCATTTTAAGGGTCCAGTTGGTTTTTTGACACCAGAATGACACCAGACGAGAACGGAATAATACATGTATTTGAAGGAACCTGACCTTTAAGTTGTCTCTTTTTTTATGCAAACATTGGGTTCAAGGTTTTTTTTCTCTGTTGTGCAGGTGTGGGTGTTAACACCACACAATGCTTAACCTCTAACTTGACTGTTTCAGAGTTTCCTTGGCGGTTTGTTTGGTCCTGTCTGTGAAATTGATGTCATACTGAATGATGCTGAGAGCAGAAAAACAGCAGAGCTGAAGACAGAAGATGGGAAAGTGGAGAAACATTACTTGTTTTATGATGGGGAGTCTGTTTCCGGAAAGGTGAGCTTAGAGAAAAGTGAGTGCCTGTGGCACATAATAAGGTTTGTGAGTCTTGCATCATTAGCACAGCAGGATACCTATTTGAAAATTCACTAAAATGTGAAAAGAAGACAGTTTGTAATTAATGATGTTAATTGTGTGCATCACACATATATAGTTAATGCTGTTTACTTTTGCCTATTTCAGCAATAATGGAGTTATTATAGCGGTGAAATGGAATTATTACAAAAGGTGTTTGTGGGTAAGGTTTACTCCCACATGGAGCTTTAGTAGATCAACAAAGAAATGACAGGAACTGTTGAGATATGACGAGGATGAGGGCAGTCAAACATCTTAAGCATCTCTTGTCCTCAATAAAACAATGTAACTTTATTATTTAGAGGGCCAGCTGTTTTTGTAACAGACTCATTATCATTTTCATTTCCTCCCAGGTAAATCTCAATGTAAAACAGACCGGCAAGCGGCTTGAACATCAGGGAATTCGGATAGAGTTTGTTGGACAGATCGGTGAGTTGTTTAACCACAGTGGCATAGAGTGGAGACTAGAGTAAAAATGAACATGAGCAGTAACGGCTGTACTGCTGAATGTCTTTGTCCAGTGAATTGTGCTCCACACTTCAGCCTTGAAATGCAGAAGGCTTAGGAAAGCATGTGCTCGTCACATGGACAGAACACTACTCATTCTGCATGAAACCAGCAGCCAGTTCAAAATAACTGCAGTGACTGTCTGCTTAGTCAGTTCTCTATAATATAGAGAACTATATATGTCAGATGATGTCAAAGAAAGCTCTGTTCTTCAGCATTGGTACTAAACAATGTACAATTATTTATGTATTTGTTTATTACAATAATTTATGTATTTGTTTTTTAAATATATATCCATGTTTTGTCATACAGAACTTTTCAGTGATAAAAGCAACACGCACGAGTTTGTGAACCTGGTGAAGGAGCTTGCTCTTCCTGGAGAGCTGACCCAAAATCGCAGCTATGACTTTGAATTCATGCAAGTGGAGAAGCCATATGAGTCCTATGTTGGAGCTAATGTGCGATTGAGGTTAGTCTTATTCTTATTACCCCAAGGCTTTGCAAAAGGCTGAACGTTAAAGTGGTAATGATGGTTGTAGCCTATTTTATTCAATTTTATTTTTCTTCCTCTCTAAGCCATGCTTGTGTTGGATTGTGCATGAGCACTTAATCAGATTTCTTTTGCTAATTTTACTGTTGTAAGGCAAGATTTGCTCTTACTCTTACAATTGTTTTGAACCCTGAGACATTTTAATGTGGTTCTTTTGATACCTGGCAGGTATTTCCTCAAAGTAACAATAGTGAGGAGGCTGTCTGATTTGGTAAAAGAGTATGACATCATTGTCCATCAGCTTGCTACCTACCCTGATGTCAACAATTCCATCAAGATGGAAGTGGGCATTGAAGATTGCCTACATATAGAGTTTGAGTACAACAAATCCAAGTAAGTTGATGTATCGGTCAAAGACTTTTAGTGATGTTATAGATGTGAAACTTGTATTACTACAATTTGAAGAACTATTTGCTAATTGCACCACTTCAGCACTGCTTATTTAGATCTAACGTAAGCTTGCTTTGTTCCCCCACAGATACCACCTTAAAGATGTAATTGTGGGTAAAATCTACTTTCTGCTGGTTCGAATCAAAATCCAACACATGGAGCTTCAGTTGATCAAAAAAGAAATGACAGGAATTGGTAAGATCCTGAACAGTTCATTTGAATGATTCAGGAAATAGTTTCTGAAAGTGCAGTACTCTTGTGGGATGATAGCTGAACGACATTACATAGTTAATTTCGGTTTATTTTTTGATCTTCAGGGTGATCTCAGCCATTACTTCTCTTAATGGTGTGAAATCCCATAATAAGTCATATGACATTCCTTTGACAGGGCCGAGTACGACTACGGAGACGGAAACTGTGGCCAAGTATGAGATTATGGATGGAGCACCAGTGAAAGGTAGGCCTGGCTTCATGCTATTTGAAATGTTCTTATATAACAGTACACAGTATTTTAAAGGCATTGCCTGTTTGTTTTGATGCCTACAACACATTCCAAGAAAGTTGGGACAGGAGCATGTTTCCACTGTGTTACATCACCTTTCTTTTTAACAACATGCCAGTTTTTAAGGGGGTTTTTGAGAGGCCAGAGGTCACAGTTTTCTGTGGTGGTTTTTAGTTTTGCCTTTTATGCACAGACAAGTACGAAGCAAACAAAGCTAAGAACAGGACATAATAAAGGAGAATGCAAATACATTAAGGGAGAACACAAATACATTGAGAGAACACAAAAACATTATTAGAAATAAAGCATTTAATAAACGCTGTATTTGTGGGGAAAAAAATAAAAAAACTCAGCACTGAAACAGTAACCCAGGACACAACAGCATTAACCAAAAAGAAAAACATTTCAAGAGCACTGCTCTTGCGGTCACTTGCACAGGAAACGCTCTGGCCACCAGGGGTTGATGGTGGTGTTACATCTCACTGTTGATGGTGAAACTAGTGACTAGCAAGTTTCACCAAAAGTTTCAAGCGATAGAGAGAGAATGAGAATGTGTGCCTGAAAAAGGCAAATCTCCTCTCTTGTAAAACAATAATCTGTTTAACCTAGAAATGTAAGTAAACTGGCTGAACCTGTAAGAGTTAGTACATTATAAATGTGTTACATTCAGTTAACTCACTATTTTAAGGCAGCCGGGTTAGTGACTTTTTAAGTTAAAACTCCAAATTAGTTTGTACATAAAACAGTCACTCATTTGAAAACCAGCCCGACCCAAGCCTGGTGCTGTACGTGCAAAAATGTTTACCCAATATTTTGTAAGGCCATCAGACTGCAGACCTCGAACAGTGTTTATCAGGACACAAAATTACACTGTAAAAGGTGTTTCGTCAGTTCAGATAAAAAAACCACAACTTTGCAGTAACAAGTAAATTAACCAGTTTAATTCAAGCAAAATAAATACTTTGATTTAAAGAAATGCTGATTCAAAGTAGTTTGTTGTTAAACTAGTTTTATTGCTTGTTACCGCATGAAGTAATTTTTTCAGGTTGAACTGACAAAACACTATTTACAGCGTACCCAGACAGAATGCTTTGGTTAAGCGTAATCTTCAAATAACATTGTGTCATTTTGGTTTTAGCCAAGAAGAGTTTTACTGAATGACTAACATATGAAAAGTACTGATAAATGTTTGTGTTAGCATTTGAGACTCATTGAAAGGAGATAGAAGAGTTGGTTGATGTAGAGAGAAAGTTTGAGAGGACTGCGGTATTACTGGGGAAACATCTCATTTGTTTATAAGACCCAATCAACATTGCTATATTGCTTTGTGTTTTTGATGTTTTTCCTCCTGTCCAGGAAGAGATTCCAGGTGTAGCAATATTAAGACCTTTTGTCCAAAAAATAAAGTTAATGCAAAATAATTCTTGAAAACTTTATTCACTTCAATATTCACTGTAAAACTAAGTCTTTGCAAAGGGTGCCATATGTAAAGTATCATTAATAATGCAAATTGATGGTTTTACAGTTACAGTTGCTTGCTCTGACCCAGCAGCTGACTGTAATAATAAAACATCCTCCATACTGAGGCATCATACACACCTTTATATTTTAGTGTAAAAAATTCTTAAATTTTGCTATCCCAATGTAGCACAAGCAGACTTTTTCTCCTGTACCCCTTCGCTGAATACAGTCATATATATCATTTCCACATACATGACAAGTGTGATTAATTAATCATTCAGTCAGTATTTTATTTAAGAAGCAAATTCATATAAAAAATTGAAACATTATAATGTCTGTCTGCCAGTTGACAAGCATCGACATTGCAGATGTTTTTTTAGAAAATCAGTTCTTTTAGAGCACATAATGCAATGCATCTAAAAAGATCCATTAAAAGTGTTGACTGCACAACATCCTCTTCACCAGCAGAGGTCACCCTTGTGCGCTGTGAATAAAGCTTCAAGTAACAAACTGATTTTCAACACAATGGCTGTGTCCAGTACCATGCATTTCTAAATGGTGGTGGACTATTTTTGGCATACTTTTTACTATGGCAGTGTTTTGGACACAGCTAGTGTTTTGAAATGGTTCAAAGCTTCAGAAAGCCTTGTTTCTCACTTAATGTACTTGTGTTCTCAGTTTTTGTTTGCTTCTTAAATGTTGTTGTGATCTAACTCAGAGGGCCACTGTATGAAATACCTAAAATCTTTGCAGTTGCTTACTGAGGAGCATTATTCTTAAACCGCTGAATTTTTTGCTGGTGCAATATGGCGAGCCTCAACCCACCAATGCTTATGAAGGTCATTGCATTTCTTGGATGCTCCTTTTATAGCTAGGCAAGATTGCATCCCCTGTATAAGTTGAATGACCTTTTAAGATGGAAATGAAGTTTATAAGATAAAACTTTAAATATGTTTTATTTGTACTGCTTTTGTTCGAATATAGGTCAAAGCAGATTTGTACATCACTGCCTTCTATTTATTTTTTTGCTTTTTACCTGCTGTCCCAACTTTTTGGAATTGGGTTTGTGTGTACAGTTATGCTAATTGATAGGCAGCACAAATTTGGATATGAACACTTTTACTGTTGTGGGTCCATATTCCATCACTTTTGAAGTTTAAAAGCTTTAATTCAAACAATTTTAGGTCTCTCTGGGGGGTTTATATGGTTGTTCCTAACAGACTGTAGATGGCAGTATTTATTCTGCTGATAGTGTCAGCTGTGGCGTCATCGGTGGAGATAACTGAGCCAGTTCCAGTGTCAGATGTGTTCACAGGCAAAATGGTAGGCTGTGGCTTGGACTTGGAGCTAATAGTTCTGCCTTTTTCTCGAGCATGTTCTTTTGTTGGACTGAAATATTAGTTTTTAGTTTTTTAGACACTGAGACTTCTTTGGCTGTCTGGTCTTAGAGATGGGCAATATGACGATATAATCTCACAGCCTTGTTTAATTAGATTTAGTAAAGCACGCAATGTGAAATGTTGAATTAAAATCATTGCACCCAGTTTTTAAATGTGGCACTACTAGTGCACAGTGTTTGTGTGCCAAAATATCATGATTTGTATTGTGTATCGTGAAAATGTCTTTTAATATCATGATATATTTTGCCATCCCCCCCCCCCATCTGGTGGACTTTGGGGTACCAGGAATCTTTGTTATTACTTAGCTTATCAGCACATTTTATGTCCTGTTTGCTATTTCTCTGGCTCAGATATCAGTAGTAGACTCTTGAAAAGAAATGCAAAGCTTGCTCTCTTTGGGATGCATTGTGACTGCAAATGAAAGCTCATGAATGCCATCGTTTGGTTAAGTAACCTTCAAGCTGACTTAAGTGAAAATTCCTTTGAATTATAGCTGACCACTGAAGAACAGAATAAATGTCCAAGTAAAAAAAAATAGCAAGAATTAATGTCCAAGTGCATCCAGGGATTGAAATGTTCTGTAATAGCTCAAAACTGATTTATTTTTCCTCAGCCTTGCAAATGCTATGTGCATTGTGCCATATGTTTACACCATGCGCATTTATTAGTAGGACATACTTTGAATTACGCAGCATCAGGTGTAGGTAGAATGTTCACTGTAGTACAAGTAACATTTTGTTCCAACATTGTGAACATTGTCTTTTTGCTAGGTGAGTCCATCCCCATACGCCTCTTCCTTGCTGGCTACGACCTCACAGCTACAATGAGAGATGTAAACAAGAAGTTCTCTGTGAGGTACTTCTTAAATCTGGTGCTGGTAGATGAAGAGGATAGGAGATACTTCAAACAGCAGGTACAGCACAACTAATAAAATATCTCAGTAAAGGTGTGACATCCATTTATGTGACACTGTATGTAAGCAGTGCACTGAACAGCATCATTAAGATCACTAAAAATCAGGATACACTGACTTCTGATACCTTGTTTCTCTGAATAGTATTCCTGGACTATGACAGAGGCACTCTATAATTAAACATGTTTTGAAACTTGCATTTAAATGTATTAAAATGTTTTTTTCCTGTTTCAGGAGATTGTTTTGTGGCGAAAAGCTCCTGAGAAACTGCGAAAACGCAACTTCCATCAGCGCTACGAGTCCCCAGAGCCACGGCCGAGTCTCTCTGCTGAGCAGCCTGAAATGTAAGGTGGGGGCGCAGGGACAGTCAGCCAGGGACACGTTTCTCCAGTGGCCAATCACAGGAGAGGAGAGCAATTCCCACCAAACATTCATGCCGCCACTCCTCACAACTTGCGGTGATGGGCTGTGTCTTTGCCTGCCTTCGCTGTGTCCACTCCGCCGTCCGCAGCAAGCAAATTGTTAGCATTCAAGGACTTCTTACACACTATAGAAAGCACTGGGACAGAAGCTACTTTGTAAATCTTACAGTACAGTTTGGGGCTTGCACCCTTCTCTAGATGAAGATTTTTTTTAATGCACTTGCTAGTTTTCCTGAAGATCCAGATAGATATATGGCATCCAGGATTTAAAAAAATACACTTCACTTCAGAGAGCGTTCTAGTGCATGCTGGCTGGTTGGATTGAATATTTGGTCATTAACAGCTAATGTCGGCTACGGGGCCAGTCTTAAAGGTCAAGCAATGAAATATGTTCTGCGTGTACCCAGGCCAGAGTGCCATACTGTTTTTGAAATCACTTTAAGATGTAAAAGATTTCTATTTAAATTATTTAGCGTCTAATCTTTAGGTCTTTATTGCATTAGGTAAATTCTCCTCATTGTAAGTACATTTTGGACAAAAAGATTATATATATATTATCAAGATGTTCAGTGTTTTTGCATGAGGCTTTGAATTTGAAGCTTTCCAAAATGACACGATTTTTGTTTTAGGACGGTTATATGTGAGCGACTTGCAATACGTTCAGCTGATGGATTTAGCTGATTACGGAATGGCTCACTAAAATATTCTTATTTTCGTTCTCTTAACCTATTGAGATGACTCTCAATCTTACAGCAGAGCTAAATGTAGGCTGCACTGCTTTCACTTTTAGAGTAGTAACGTCTTTCTGTTTCTGAGTACCATATGCAGGCATTTCTTCTTGTTTAAATGTAAAAGTGCCCGTAAGGTTATGATGAAATTACGCGAGATATATCCCTTGCATGACAGCCTGGTTAAAATGGCTCTGGTACACAAAGCGTTCCTGTCAATTTTCATGTTGCTAATGTACATAAAGTTCTCTATAGGATGGTGAGAAACTGCATTCCTTTGGATGTTGAATTACCAGCATATAGCTCTTTGCAGTTATGATATGAACAATGTTAACCAGAACACTACTACAGGAATGGCCTTTGTCCAGCCATGAGTGCTGTCACTGTAATGCATTGGGAATATTTAAGACATGGATTTACAGCCATGTAAAATGAGTTGTTTGTGGACTCTGAAAAAGAAATGTACATATCCAGCCTCAAACTGTTTATCTGTCAATCTGTCAAATAAAAATGCAAGTTTATACTGGTAAATGCATCAAGCTGCATTTGACTTTTTGCATGTAACTACACAGTCTGTCCTACCTGAGGGTTTGTCAATGTAGTGTAAATGTTAATATGACCTTGCCAAAGTCTTCTTTTGGTGGTTGTACAGATTTATTAAGAGTCTGCAGTTAAAGGTGCAGTGTGTAATATTTAGTGGCATCTAGTGGTGAGGTTGCAGATTGCAACCGATTTGATACGCCTCCCTCCCTCATCCCTCTTTTTTTTCAAGCGTGTAGTAGAACCTACGGCTGTCAGGTTTTCTGTTGCCACCTGTCTCGTTTTCATTTCATTTTTCTTCTGCATGTTTTTGCTTTTTTGACTATGAGGATGCACCCTCCCTTGCTTTTTTCTTGTGCTAAATAATACGTCTGAAAATGATTAGCCAGTACTGGCAGCAATCACCAATTCTTCTTTCCAAGTCTTCCAACTGGTGCTATATTGCACCACCAAATTCAAGCTGCTGCTTTAACTTAAAAATGCGAAAGGCACTCTCTAGAGCAGGGGTGCACAACTCTGGAGGGCCAGTGTCCAGCACAGTTTGGAGGTTTCCCTACTCAAGCACACCCATTTAACCTGGCAATTAACAGATGAATGTAATCAGGTGTGTTGGAGCAGGTAAATCACCAAACTGTGCTGGACATGGGCCCTCCAGGACCAGAGTTGTGCACCCCTGCTCTGGAGCCAGAGTTTGGTTTGTCTGTTCTGGGCTGCTGTATAAACATGGCAGCACAACATGGCACCCACTGGAAGAAGACCCTTTCCTTATGTCAATATGAAGGGCTCATTCTAAGCTAAAAAAACACAACAGTTCATAGTTACAGGTGATTATGAAAAGATGGCTCTGTATACTATATTCCATTTCTGCTAGTCGATCCCCCTAAATCTTACACACTACAACTTTAATTTGATGTAAAAATGACGTTTAATAACGTCATGGATCTGATGCAGACGTTTTCTGAGGACTTTTCTCGAGAACACATTTAAGAAAAAACGTTATTGGTGAATGAAGTGCATTGTCCATTTTATCAGATCCACTTTTTTTGGCCCATGGCAACCAGACCTCCTAAAATCTTTATTGGGCCCCTCATATACACTCACTGGGCACTTTATTAGGAACACCTGTACACCTACTCATTCACGCAGTTATCTGATCAGCCAATCGTCTGGCAGCAGAGCATAAAATCATGCAGATACGAGACAATAGCTTCAGATTCAGGGCTGGAGTGGGACTTGTTTTCAGACAGGGAATTATATGATGCAGACATGCCCACCCTAAACTACACACACACACACACACACACACTGTGACACAACTCAGTGTCACTTGTGGACTGATAATAGTCTACCAACCAAAAATATCTAGCCAAATGTGTCCTGTAGACAGGATCTGACCAGTGACAAAGGACTAGATGATGACTGACACAACTTTTGCAGCAACAGATGAGCCACTGTCTCTGACTTTACATCTACAAGTTTGACCAACATGGTAGGTGTGTCTAATAGAGTGGCTAGTAAAAGATTCACTCATACCAACACAACACCCACCACTGTGCCACTACCATATTAATGTCACTGCAGTGCTGTGTGGAAAAATGGAGTGTAGATATGAAGTGGGTGTAACTAATAAAGTGGGCAGTGAGTGCATAACTGCCAAATGTGAAAAAGAACTTAAAGCTAGATGAAACACGTTTGTCACTTCTGAGTTGAGGACAGTCCAGTCTGCCGACCAATAATATCCGGCTAGCGGTGGTTCTGTGGTCAGAAACTGACCGCTGATAAAGGGTTAAAGGATGACTAACAGAAATTGTGCATGGAAAAAGATGAGCTACAGTCTAAGTGTACACCTACACAGTATGTGTATTTAATTAAGTGGCCAGTAAGTGTTCACAGTGTGGAAAATCCCTAGAAATGCTGCTGTGCCCAATACGATTGTATCAGTGCAGAACACTAACATGCAACTACCATGACATTATCACTGCTGTGCTGAGAGCTGTCCACCACTCAAATAATATCTAGTGAGTGGTGGTCCTCTGGTTGCCCCACTCCTCTGATGAACAGTTGGGCAGTAATAATTATATTGGGCATGAATAAGCGAATCCCCTGCAAAGCATACCTACATTATATGTTCATAGGTATGTGGACACCTGCCCATCATATCAATATGAGCTTGTTGGACGTCCAACTCTAAAACCATTGGTAACAGCCTGATGTTGGACATGAAGGTCTGGCTCACAATTGACGATTCAATTCATCCTAAAAGTGTTCAGTGGGGTTGAGGTCAGGGCTCTGTGCAGGCCACTGGAGTTCCTCCACATAAAACTTATCAAACCGTGTCTTTATGGACCTCGCTTTTTGCACAGTAGCACAATCATACTGGAATATGAAAGGGTCTTCACCAAACTGTTGCCACAAAATTGGAAGCATGTAATTGTCTAAAATGTTTTGAATGCTGTAACATTAACTTTACCCTTCCCTGGAACTAAGGGGCTGAGCCCACACCCTGAGAAACAGCCCTTGACCATTATCCCTCCTCTACCAAACTTTACTGTTGGCGCTGTGCATTCTCCTGGCATCTGCCAAACCCAGAACCATCCATCTGACTGCCAGATAAAGCAGTGTGATTCATCACTTCAGAAAACATGTTTATTATGCTGGAAACATTCATCAAAGTGTGGACAAACTGTAGTTATGAAGGCTTGAACGTGGTCAGCATCATGGGCATAACTTTGTTTTGAAAAGTGGGGGGGCAAGAATGAGGGCTAGGTGGAAAAAATGCTATGGAACTTGTATAAGGTGAGACAGATTCACAATAATAACGCTGCACATCAGTATGTTCACAAAAAAGTTTAAAGGGGAATTCCACTGATTTGTATCATTTGTACATAATTCAATAGGTAAAATTAAAACAAGCCATTCAGGTTTGGTGTGAAATGGTGCATTGTAGAGAAACTTACAGACTCTTACAGATTTCTTTAAATCGGTGATGATAGGAACCGAGGGTCGCCTAGTCTACAATGCAATTACAGCCATTTTATTTGCTAACCAGAACAACCAGTCAACCTCCATTAGGTTCTCAGTTTTTATATATAATGTTGATAATGGCAAAATAGTGGTAGAGAAAATAAGTTTTCTTTGGGTACTATTTTGCTTTACATCACCCTGCATCTACAACTCCACCCTGAAAGGATTTTTAAAAACACATTTTAGGCCAATGTCAGGCAATGAAATTATGGCCACTTTATGGAACAGGGTTCTGTGAGGTGGCTTTTAGACACATTAAAAACTTCAGACATCTGGTTCCTGTCACCACCATTGTAAACTAAATTGTTAAATTTCTCCAGGACTGCGCCTTTCACATCAAACAGGAAATTGGTGGAATTCCTCTTTAATGGAGTGGATTGGCCAAAGACATTTTACTGCATGGTCTTAGTGACCATACATTTGAAACAAAATCTTGTTGCAAGCTATTGTATAAAATATTTTTAACGGATTACGTTTTAAAAAGTGGTGGGGACAAAATGAGGCATTTCAAAAAGTGGCCGTGACATGGTCAGCAACAACATACAGGTGCTGTCCAGATGTTCTTCAGTGGGTATCAGGGGCTCCAATATGCTCCAGGAACACATTCCCCTCAACTGCGCAGGAATTATTTTTCTGTTTTAGACTTGGGTGCCTCTGATTGGTCTAACTCTACAGGCACTATAGAACTCTGTGTTATTAGGTTAAATTTGAAAACTTAAGACAACGTTTTTGATAATGTAGGCTGTAATTTTAAAAACTGCAGCTCTTGTAATTTGAACATTGCACTTAAATTGCGATTCGATCTAAAAATGATTCATCTTTAAGCCCGGGTAGACTAGGGAAAACACAAAAATGTGGACTAACTCTAGGAAGCACAGATAGACCATTAGGTGGATTCACAATTAAACTACCGGAATTCAAAAAAATAAATTCATAGACAGGTGTGAACAACGCTGCGTACGGTTGTTTATTTAGACTATTTTAACAATGCAAGTGATCAGTCTAAAATACAAATAATAATAATAATAATAATAATAATAATAAAAACCTAAGTAATTCCTCCCAATTAGTCCACTGGCTTCGAAGCTGGCGAGATGTGCCCGTATAGTCTATATGTCTATGTGATGCGCGCGCTGTCTCGTTTCATTCATCCTTTTTCTTCTTCTTTACAGACATGAAAGGCATTTACAGTGAAACAGTACTGGTTAGATGACCACCGATAAATAGCAGAACATTTTTGGTCAAACTCGCAGTTCTCTCTGTGTGTAATAACCGTCTGAATGTCTCTTCTCTCAGGTTCATTCTCCAGCCGCAAAGCCCGGAGACACCTGAGCCTGATCCCGGTGATCCGGGTCCTGCGGCGCTCCAGCGGGAGCGCAGTCCTCTGATCCGGACTCGTCCGACCACACGGCGTCCTCGGCGGTCCAGCTCTCTTTTTCCTGCGGACCCGCGGTCTTGCTCTTCGCTGACGGCGGTCTTCGGTTGTTGTAGCCCATCCGACACAGAGTCCGGTACGCGGTGCGCTCCGAGATCACTTTCTGCGTACCGTTGTTGAACTCGGTTGTGATTTCTTTTGTTGTGGCCCGTATATTCGCCTGCACGATTCTCGCCATCCTCCTTTCCCCTCTTTCGTCCACGAGCGGTTTTCGTCCGCAGGATCGCCGGTTACTGCTCGTTTTCTGCTTTTCGCTCCATTCTCGGAAAACCCTTGAGACGGTTGTGCGTGAAAAGCCCAGGACGTCGGCCGTTTTCGAGACGCTGGATCCCGCGCGCCTCGCTCCGACTATCAGTCCGCGTTCAAAGTCGCTCAGATCGCTTTTTTTGCCCATTCCAGCACTGAACTGAGGACTAACGATTAAAAACGCCGCTCTGCCCGGTTTAAACCGCACGCTGCAGTTTGGTGCCGTGTGACTTGTTGGAATGTAGAGTGTGAGTGAAGATGTGGGGGGAGTACCTAATAAACAGGCAGCCCGCGGTGCCTTCACAGCGCCTCAGCGCCTCGCCGTTCACCACATACCGGCTGCGACTAACTACTCAGCAACCCAAAGACAGAACATTTATAATTCAGAAGACCTGCAGCGCTAAAACGTGGCTGTCACACCATGTAGTGCAGTATTTATCTAACAGAGAGCGATTCTGAACTCACTCGAATGTACTCTGTGAACAACCACCAAACAAGTTGTAACGACCGAGCCGCAGAAATAGTGAACTCACCATGGAGAGGTCCTTGGATCATTCCATCCAAATCAACGGGTAACTTTAAGGATTTGTGTTTATAATGAAACGCAATTTACGTCAGTACGCACTTATTTCCGCACATGCGTCCTCATGTCTTCCGAAGCTGCGCGTGTTAATATTCAGATTCCCGGCTCTGCAGTGAAGAGCAGCAGGCACGGAGTCAGACACCCATGTGTCGGGGTCCTCTCTCCCACGTGTCCTGTACACGCTGTAGTTGATCATGACCGACCTCAGTGTTTCTGTTCGGCTCCGGTATGGAACATTTACACTGAAGGGTTTCTGACTGCGCTTCCTGGTGTTGTGTATCGCCTCTGCGGCTGTGAGGCAGTCCTGCGCCCGGACTCGGGGCCCTCAGGATGGCGCTGAACCGCTGTGCTGACTTGCTGCGCCGCCGGTGCTGCTCGCTGCTCTGCCGCGCCGTCGCTCCTCCTCCGGCTCCTCTCAGCAGCGGCTCCTTGCTGGGCTTCGTTCCGCCGCTGAGCCGCTCCTCCTCAGACAGGACGCCGAGAGCTCCGGACACTTCTCTGTTTGTGCCGGTCGCCGTGAAGAACGACGAAGCCGGAGACGGAGCGGTGGGAGCCGAGCTGACACAGACACTGGATAAAGGTGAGGCTGGGGGGCTCGATTTGGGAAAGCTGGGCTCGAGCTAACAGCTAGCCAGGGGGCGTAGCTAGAACTTTTCGAATGGGGCGGCCAGGTAAGACCCTTTGGGGTGGCACACAACTAATAAAATAAAAGCTTCACTCTGTTGAAATGGCACAAAGTGATGCGTCACATCTGTCTGTCATTTCCACATGAATAAAAATTACATCAATACATCAAAAGCATGATAAGTGATTATAGCTGACCAATTTTTGATAGACGCACATTCACTCGCCTGTTTCCTCAGCAAGTCAGCCTCTCACCACCTCTAAATGCAGCGTCATCAGACTCTCATATCTGATTGATAACTACCCAGATGGCAGATTTTCACCATAAAGCATAATTCATACTTTATTAATGATGGTCAGAAGAATGGGGCGTGCTTCATTCCAGGGTGTGTCTGGCCCCCTCATGGCAACACCGCTGCAGGTAGCTGCAAAAGTAGCTCCCAGCCGTGGCCCTGTAGTATCCCCTGCCCTGTGCATTTTAGTGTTTGCTCTCACGGAGAGGGTCACAGTCCTGGGGACCCGATACACCGGAGATGTGCTTTTCATCGTAAGGATGAACTGATGAACTCATTAACAGACTCCTAATGTGCTGTGTCAGGTGTGTTAGAGTAGGCACAAAAACATGGGGACCACAAGACTTTGGGGACCTCCAGATGAGCTCTTGCAGAATTAATATGTAGTGATTGTACGTTAGAAAAACTTTGCAGATATGTTTTGTTATTTAATTGAAAAGTAACACATAATCAAACATTTCTCTAAACATTTTTGAAAGAAAGCAACATGGCCTCAAACAGTTTATGCAGAATTTTATCAGGTAGGCTGTGTTGTTGCTTTTGTGTGTTGCTGTACTTCTGAACATCTTGGATTACTATTAGCTGTTTTTTTTGTGTGTGTGTGTAGGTGAACTTCTGAAGGTACTAAATAAATTTTACAAAAGGAAAGAGATGCAGAAGCTTGCTGCTGACCAGGGGCTTGATGGTAAGTTTCTTAAAAAACTTTTATAGGCTTTACAGCCTCTAATCTGTTTTTCATGAAAGTGAGTTAAATTAAAATATAAATAATTGCGATTGAATTATCTTTTCTTATTCATTATCTGCATCTGTTAAAGTACAAATCAAAAGAGACCAAATTGCTTTATTAACCTTCTTGCTTCCTAGCTATGTTTATTAGGTAGCTAACACTGGTAGTACCATCAAATTGCTACAGTACACTGTTGGGTGTGAGTGCACACACTCTCACACAAATGTCTGTAGTTACACAGAATCATATGTAGAGTCAAGCAAAGAGTGAAAATATACACCATAAAACTCTCATTCCGCTAGCATATATGCTAACAACATTAGAATTAGCTACATAGCTAAGAATTGAACAAATATCATTCAGCACTGCCTTCTAAACATGTTAGAGCACCAAGTTAGACTTTTTTTTGTTGTGTTTTCATAAGCCCTATGGCACATCTCAATGAATGTGTTTACATGTGTTTAATACTCTGATAACAGCAGAAAATCAGATTTTGTTAGTAATTCATTCAGCATGTATACATGCATTGGATAATCAGTTAATGGGAAAGTTCAGGATCTATCTGAGTCAGGCAAATATTACATTTCTGCTTCACAGTCCACAAATAAACTCATAGAATAAGACATGACATGAACGTAACATAAAACTCATTGTCATGTCGCAGCATTTTTGGCTTAAAAAAAAAAACAACAAAAAAACAGGAAGTCACTTTAGTGGAAAATATGATTATATAATTATACGTTCAAATTCTTTGTTTTGTCAGGCCTGTAGTTGATTTCAGCATCGCTCCAAAAGTGTTTTGTTGCCATCTCTCGGTTGCTGTGTTAAATGATGGAATGTCCTATTATGATCCATAAATCCAATTGTGTTTGGATTATTAAGTGCACGTAAACACACGTAATGAAGACATTTACTGTTTTCTTACATTTGTTTGCCTCAACCCAGTGCGGACAATTCACATTTTGTTTGTTGCAGCATAATGACTCTGAAATCTGAGTGGAAAACAGTTGCAGCCATCTCAAATAATTGTGATTAGGCAGGTATTTAATAATTGTGACAGGCCTAGTTGAAAGCTTTTTGTCTGAGACACTGGTCTAGCTCAGAACTTTGTTATTTAGCTTTTTGGTTGACATTGTGTTTAACAAGCTTTGAGAACACAAGCTTCAGAGTCATCATGCTTGTGCACTTTACGTAAAGCTGTGTAGCTAGACTGCATGAGGTGTGCGTCTCCAAGATAAAGAATTGTGAACGCTGGAGGAGGTGCACAGTATCTGACCATGTAAAGCTACTTGCATATAGCTGAGGAGAGTAAAACAGTGACCTTAGATTTATCATTGCTCATAGCAGTCCATTCATGTCACCTCATTAGTGTCCACCTTCAATAATGTTGTTTTATTTGCTTCTAGCCCGTCTGTTCCATCAAGCCTTCATCAGTTTTAGGAAGTGTGTTCTGGAGATGAACATCCTTAGTGCTGATCTTCACATCATTCTCAGTGATATCTGCTGTGGAGCAGGTGAGGAGTATGACACCACAAGAGTTTATAGAGCTTGTGGCTCCAATAATGTGTATATGAGCTGTTGAATTACTGCTGTTTACTTTCCCCTGCTTTTCTAGGACACATAGACGATATTTTCCCATACTTCATGAGACACGCCAAACAGATCTTCCCCATGTTGGACTGCATGGATGACTTGCGCAAAATTAGCGATTTGCGTGTTCCGGCCAACTGGTAGGGGAAATTTTTGGATATTATTCTAACACTGGCTTTAGCTTTCCTTTGTAGTAATGTAATAAACTAATCTTTTAGGTATCCAGAGGCCAGAGCTATTCAGAGGAAAATCATTTTCCATGCAGGCCCCACCAACAGTGGTAAAACCTACCATGCTATCCAGAGATACCTAGAAGCCAAGTCTGGCGTTTACTGTGGTCCTCTCAAGCTGCTGGCCCATGAGATCTTTGAGAAGAGTAATGCTGCAGTAAGTTATATTTTTTACAAAATAATATTTTTAAAAAAGGGAATTCCACATATTTTTCTGAGTGTAAGCATAATTCTAGAGAAACTTAAGGCCTTTTTTACACTAAAACCTGGGACGTTCCAGGGGTACTTTTACCGTTAATTGTTCCGGCTGTATGTCATTCAGCCCATAAACATTAATTTACTACGATGCACATGTTCATATGTGCCATACCTGGATATTATGTCAGAGCTCATTTGTTTCTTAATCGTACTAAAATACTGTCACACAAACGTTTTGTTCTGCTGGCCATGCTGTGTCTCTTTTGCGCAGAAGTGTTCATGCACACAGAATGGGGAGATTTTTGCTGCTTTTTCATATTCAGTATCATTAAATACCCATGTAAAAGAGGCTTTACAGAATTAGAATTGTTCACAGTTGTAATGATAGGAACCACACATCTGAAGCATTTAATGACTCTAAAGTCTCCCTCACAGAAAACTATTGCACATGCACAGCAGAAAGCAGAGAGAAAATAGTAATTTTTTTTCCATTCTCAGATTTGCCACTTTGCAATTATCAGCCTTTTACTATCCATTTTGGATAGTAAATAAAATTGTGTTGTAGACATCACCACTATCACTATATATATATATATATATATAAATAAAAAGTCAGTCACTTAGTTTCTCTGCAGTGCACATGTCAGACCACTCTTTCTCTACATTGCAACAATTAAGTCATTCAGTGAAATCAGTGAAGTTTCCATTTAACTGACAACATTAAGGGAAAACAGGATTTTGATTCACATATGCTGTGTAGAATAATATGTACTTGATGGAGACTAGGGGTGAGCGATATGGCAAAAATATATCACTATACTTCAGTACATTTTCACAATACACAATATGCATCCCAAAATGTAGTTAATCTTTTTGTGGTTTAATAACCTGAAACAGGCAAAAGAGAACCTGTAGTGCCACATTTAAAATTGAAAAATAAATAAATAAAAATAATAAATAATAATTATACCAAACCCACAGCTACAGCATTTTTAAATAAATGTTTTACAAACTGCACTTCACTAAATCAAACAGGCCTAATTATACTCATTTTATAATTAAACATGTTAGTCAGTGTTATTTAAGTACTGATGATGTCCACGATATGCTCAGAAAAGTGTGTTGTGACACATCATGATGACAATAAAATATTGTCATATTGCCCACCCCTACTAGGCATATTATCTTATTCTTCATCGGGGCACATGGAGAAGAAGACAGCTACTGCTGCTGTAGTTCATTGGTGGCTAGGTGGGCCTCTGACTAAATTTGACTAAAAACATAATTTATTGGTCATGTTTTATTCTTTGTGACTCTTGATTAGGGTGTACCATGTGATCTGGTGACAGGAGAGGAGAGAACCTTTGTGGATCCAGAGGGGAAACAGTCTAATCATGTAGCCTGTACTATTGAGATGTGCAGTGTCACAACTCCATGTGAGTAGTGAGAATTTGTTCAACCACCACAGTGATTTACATTAACTTCATTTTGTTGTAATGGAACATAACCGTGACAGGTGAATATTGCTTTCAGATGAAGTAGCTGTTATAGATGAGATTCAGATGATCAGAGATCCCTCCAGAGGATGGGCCTGGACTAGAGCTCTTCTGGGTGAGTGTTGTCTATGGCATTTTACACCACCTGTTAAACAACCAGCTTAAAATACAGCTTTATCATAAATATGTAGTTTTGTAACAGGCCTTTAGGTGTATGGTAGGGCTGCAACAAATAACTAATTTGACAGTCGAATAATCTGTCGATTACTGAAATGAATAATCGACTGTTCGGATTATGAATCACTACATTACCAAATAACTTTTATGTAGCTGTTAGCTTTTAAATTTAGCTTAAGGTTATTTTATGCATTTGCTAACTAACAATGAAGACAATGAAGATGAATACCATTGTAAAAGAAAACTGAACAGAGTCGCTGTGAATAATAGTTACTTGCTTCTCTTTTCCAACTCCATTAACGATTCCAGAGAACCTGCATTTCGGAATAGAAAATGTTACAGCTTACAACATGAAGTAGGACGGAATTTAATATTAACATTAGCTAACTAGCTCGACTATCGCCGTGTCCCAAACCACACACTTCTGTTTTAATTGTATATGTGCTATTTTTACATACTATTTAGTGTGCTAGTATGCGATTTGGGACGAGGCATGTCTTACTGAGAGGAATCTTCTTCATCTGGTGAGCCGATGAGTTTCCTCTTCAGATTCTCCAACATGGAGGATGGGCTCCCACGCTTTTTAGGATTTTGTTCTTGAGGCTGCCATCTCACTGTTGTTAACTCTCCAGTGAGCGGTAATGTCAGAACTTTCCTAGTGAGCGCAAGAAAGACGCGTGATGGCATCACCAACTAGTCGACTACTAAATTATTTGCCGACTAAGTTGAATAATCGCTGCACCCCTAGTGTACAGTATATCTGCTATGACAGTAATTCCTAAAGGAATATGAATTGTGAAGCTGGTCTTCCACCAACTTTTGCGATCTGCCTCTGCAAAGTCAAATAATTGTGCTGTTTGAGGTGTGGTGTTTAGTTTGATAGCTCTTTAACTTTAGATTTTATATAACATTCTGATCTCCTCCTGTACTCTGTCTGTGTGTAGGTTTGTGTGCTGAGGAGATCCATGTGTGTGGAGAAGCTGCAGCCATTAGCTTTATCACTGAACTCATGTTTACCACCGGTGAGGAGGTGGAGGTGAGTGACCTGTGAAGAATCTGTACTTTTTCTTTGCAATGATAGACAACTTACTGTCTTAAAAACAAACATAACTATACTTTTTCATGATTTTGTTCATAGTCATGTGATACTGGCGTTTATCACTAGCATATGATCTGTAGTGATTCCAGCCTTGCAGGTGTAATCAATCGGATATGTTTTTCATTTATATACTTTGACCTTATTTAAACAGATTTTCCTTAATTCTCAAGGTACATAACTATAAGAGGCTGACTCCGTTCTCTATCTCGGACCAAGCAGTGGAGAATTTAGATAACCTGGAGCCCGGTGACTGCATCGTATGCTTCAGCAAGAATGACATCTACTCAGTGAGTAGGCAAATAGAGATCCGAGGGCTGGAATGTGCTGTTATTTACGGCAGCCTGCCTCCTGGTAAGACTCCATTAGATATTAAAATCAAAATATTTGGAATTTAATCAAACTCTTGCCTAGAAATTAGTAACATGAACTCTTTGTTCAACAGGCACCAAGCTGGCTCAGGCGAAAAAGTTCAATGACCCAGACGACCCCTGTAAGATCCTTGTTGCCACGGATGCAATTGGAATGGGTTTGAACTTGTTAGTAGGTTTTGAGTTGTCTTACATTGTCAAAGGAAAAACAAAAATAAAATTAAGAATTTATCATGAAGGTCTTTATCTGTAGGTAAATAGGGCCTTTTTTCCACTGTAGGGCAAAACAGTTCTGAGTACAGAGAGTAACCGTTCTAGTGGGATGTCCACATGGACACAGAACGCTTACAAACCAGTGACATAGCAATTCACTTATTAGTTCTACGCCGCATCTGTATTGTGCCTCTAAATCTTGCAGACACCGAAAAATAATGTTCGCTTACAGTTTTCAAACAAATAAAAGCAGTGCACAGTTTTAAATCCACTGTTCAATAAATGTCAAGCCATCAATCTAGCAGTAATTGCTAAATGTTATACAGCACTGCTAACTAGGAGAGAGGAGCTGGTTAGCATCAGTTTAACTAGCATGCTATCAACTTTTCCTGCCAACAGACAGGTTCAAGTTTGACTAACAGAAGCCACACTGATGTAAGTTTCAGATGATAATGACTCAAATCTGAAGAGGCGAAGTCGAATGGCTGGTGTTGAAGGGACAGAAAGCCACAATTAAATCTGTTCCGTGGTGTTCGGACTGTAGCCTTTTAGCTCCGCTAATGCTAACCGACTCCTCAAGCATACTTTAGCTTTGTCACGAGTGTGTACCAGCATTCGGCCCTGGGAACTATTTGCCTTTCTGGTGAAAAAGAGGCCATGTTCTCCTCTCTACAACATTGCAGTGCAGGCTGTTGCTTTGTTAGGCTGAATCTCAAATGGCTCCCTACTCCCTATGTAGGTCATGAAATAGCTCCTACACCCAAGTAGTGAATTGGATGTCAGAACCATGGGGTGCGTGTTTCCCTATTTGGCATTTAGTGCACTATTTGTGTGTGAAAGTCACTTACAGTGCAGTATATAGGGAATAGGGAGCCATTTGAGATTCGACCTTATATCTTGAATTTTTCAACCTTTTGTTTTGAATGTTTCCTTATATCTTACTGAGATTTAGCCTTATATATTGAATGAGATGTGGTTAACTCATACAAAACTACAATTACTAGCTCAAAGATACATGCATGTTATCTGTCCTAATCAGGAGCATCAGAAGAATCATCTTTAACTCACTGGTGAAGCCCAGTGTGAATGAGAAAGGAGAGAAAGAGCTGGTCACTATCTCCACCTCCCAGGCCCTGCAGATCGCAGGGAGAGCAGGACGGTTCAGTTCTGTGTTTAAGGAGGGCATGGTGACTACCATGCATCGGGACGATTTACCTGTGCTGAAGGAAATCCTGAGCAGGCCTGTGGACCCTATAGAGGTGAGGATCTCTTACCTTCACTTTTATTTTTTGCAGCTTCTATACTGTTCATTATTTGAAACCTATAAAGTTGTGGAGTAGTACTATTGTATCGGACTTGTTTAGGAGGAATATGGACTGAAGAACAAATCTGTTGTTACCACTGGTGTCTTCGCCTTTGCTTATTGGTTTTGTTATTGTGGTTTCAGAAAGGAGATTGGGGGGAAATGCTATTTTATTTAAAAAGGGTGTATATACACTTTGTATATTTGTATTTAGCAAAAAATTTTCTGTTTCTGAAACGGTATAAGGTTTTAAACATATTAGTGGTTTTATGGCCTTCTGAAAAGTCTAGTGCTTTGAGTTTGAGATGTTGCACTTAAAGTGGTTTCTCTCACCTCTCTGATCACAGACAGCAGGTCTACACCCCACAGCAGAGCAGATAGAGATGTTTGCCTATCATCTTCCTGACGCCACGCTCTCCAACCTCATTGTATGTATTCTGAAGAGCCGCTGGATCGTATTACTCATGGCAGCAAAGGTTGTTCATGTGTGTTTTGCTGACTGGTTCCTCTGTCTCATAGGATATATTTGTGAGTCTCTCACAAGTTGATGGCCTTTACTTTGTCTGCAACATCGATGACTTCAAGTTCCTAGCAGACATGATTCAACACATTCCTCTGAACCTGCGATCTCGCTACGTTTTCTGCACCGCCCCCATCAACAAGAAACAGCCTTTCGTTTGCACGTCCTTCCTGAAGGTACTGATGAAGAACAACATTACAGTGGTGGTCCAGTTTTCAAAATCTCCAGACCCTCCAGTGTTACTTTACAAGCCTGTGCAGTGTACTGATGGTTTCAGTGTAAAACTGTTTATTTGCTCACATTGAGTCCTAATCGCTCCCAGGAGCAATTTTCTTTGGGCTGTGTGTCTGATATGCTTAAATATTAAGCTAGCTCACGCTTTAGGATGTCCCTAAGGATATGGTGATGTTTGTCTGTAGTTTGCCAGACAGTTCAGCAGAGATGAGCCATTGACTTTTGACTGGGTGTGTCGACACATCAGCTGGCCCCTGGTAGCCCCCAAAAACATCAAGGACCTGGTCCACTTGGAGGCTGTCCACGATGTACTGGACCTTTACCTCTGGCTCAGGTATGTTTTGAGTCCTGCGATTTAGTGTCTAAAGAAGTTTGATTTGATTTAGTGTGAATTACTGTGCTGATGGGTAGTACACAGTAGTATATTTAAGCTTGTATGTAATTGGTAGTCATATTCATGTTCAAAGAAACGACTAGAAATTTACACAGGAGAAATGTCTGTACCTCAGGAGGTTTTTGGTTTGGTGTGGAGCTGCACCATATGTTGTTTGTTGATCATTATTGCAGCATTTGTCGTTGCAACCGCGAAAGGCTGCAAAATACAAATGGGTCTCTAATCAATCACAAAATTATTTATTTCACGGTGTGGCCAATCAGAGATTTTCCTTGATAACTGTTCTGTAGATGTTTTGATGAGTTATGGCACACAATAATCCAACAACATAAATTAATGCTGATTAAAATAACGTTGGCTAGTCTTTAACTGTGACACAGTGGCATTCAGAATAATGCAGATACATCTTTAAAGAAATGGTTTAGTGCACAATTTCCCTACTTACCCCTGCTGTAGTCGATCAGTCAAATGTTTCTTCTTTAGTTTAGCACTGGACTTATGAGGCTAACAAACACAAAGTCAGTATCACACCAAATCCTTTCTGTAAATACATCCCCAAACGTTCTCTTTACCCGCTCAAACCATATCCAGGTCTTAATTAAGGTCGCACATACTTGCTGAAGTGGTTTAGGGCACGATATGAACTACAAAAATGAACAAAACTTCACTATGTAGCTGCTTTAGACACACGTCACATGCACGCACTACAGATTATTTTTCTGATTTTCACTTTTCCTTTTAATAAATGTTAATCTTGAATTTTCTAAATGAACATATATTTTTTAAAAAAGGAAGCAAGATAAGTTACAAATCTAATCTACTATCTTATAATAGCATGTTGCAAGGCATATCACAGCTGTATTTGTAGCAGTAGAATAGCAATATGATATTTTGTCCATGTTTTGCTGCCTTGTTTTCATTTCATTTCACTCTTGGCTGTTCCTGACTAGAGAACTTTGGGTTAATCACTTGCATATGGTTTGTCAGTCAGGCTAATCGTTTTCTCTCTGCTTTGCCCTTCCAGCTACCGTTTCATGGACATGTTTCCCGATGCTAACCTCGTCCGGGAGATTCAGCAGGAGCTGGATGGCATAATCCAGGTTGGCGTGCGTAACATTACGAGGCTTATTCGCACCACAGAGGCACAGTCTCCCAGCTCAGGCTCTGAATCAAAAACCTCTGGCCTGGGGCCCCAGTCCCCTTCGCTAGCACTGAGAAGGGCTCGGGCCTCTAAATCCCAGGCTAACGTGAAAGAAGGAAACAGAACCATGGAGCACTCGCTGGGCTCACGTCTGGTGCAGGAAGGACTGCTCACACCAGACCTCTTGCAGCAGCTGCGGAAAGAGTGGTCAAGAGACCACAACCAAAGTGGAAACTTTACTAAAGGGACCGCAGGGACTGTAAACAAAAACAAAAAGAAGAAAAAGAAGTGACAAAGGCGAACCTTTGAGAATTTATATAGGATCTTATTTAACAAGTGAAAAATACACTGTAAATCAGCTGTATATGGACATTTTTGATTTTCATGGCTCAAAAAAAACACACTAATATTTTTCATTGTTTTCCAAGGAAACATTTTACTGGGGCTGACGACACAAAATATATATATATATATATATATATATATATATATAACAATAAAAGCTTTTTATTTACAGTGAAATTGTTTGTTCTGATATAGTTCAGGGTGCTGTGTTTTTTGACAGTTATTATTTTAATACCATGCCAAATCAAGTCATGTAGAGTTATACATTTTCACTTGAAAAATTTCTTAACAGCCAGAAAGAGACATGACTTTGCCATTACTAAGCAGTGTTAATAGCAACTTTTGTTGCTGGAAGGAGCAAAGTGCACATTTTAATTTGTTCTTTGTTCCAAAGTTAAATTAGAAGAATGTATCATATTACTGGTCAAAGTTAGGATTCAGTCATTTGTGGAAGAAGTGGTATGGTTTTATTCCTAGGTGCTATGTTGTTACAACCTAAGCCATTCTGTTCCCTCTTCTAAAGTGAGTCACATGATCTCTTCCAGACTGAGATTGGGTAAGGTTGCATTCCTCTAGTTCAAACTCACTTTGAATCACTTACTAAATGACAGATTTTGAGACGTAATGCTGAAGGCCCTATGATACTTTGAATAGCTGAACAAATTTAAGAGACATACATAAAAAATGCAGTAATTTTCTGAACACAGAACAGCATATAATATTCCATCACTGCTGTTATATCCTTGAGTACTTTTTACCTCCAGTTATAGGACTTTATAATGCTGTCTCGTATATGTTCATGATGTCAGTGGGTGCTGACCGCTTCACTCGGCCAATGAGCTGCTCCGCTCGCTGACCAATCAGCACTCAGTAGTAGTAATGCTAGCTGGTAATGCCCAAATACTTACTAATTATTTGCTGTAGAAAAATGCAAAGATAGTGGTAAGTTTTCTTTACTGTTCATTATTTTTTTTTAAAGGAAGGTCCTACACAAATGGTTAAAAACAAGCTTAATGCTCAGTTCACCTCTGTTCATTGTGAGCTTGCTTGCGAGCACCCTTTAGTGTTTTGCAGTCAAGTTTTTGGTAAAATGGGAAATTAAGTGGCCAGGCTCCCCTTAAACGGGTTCTGCTATTACCTTCTATAAAACAAGCCGCAGAAACACACCAGGTTCTATTAATCTTGTGCTAATCGACATGCAGGTAAAAATGCTGTCATGTTCTGAGTTTCTTAAGTATGGAGACACTCAACGAAGCGTTTAACGTTACTTGTGTTCTCTGTGACTAAAATCAACCCGATACGTAACGTTGCTGACCCACCTCGTGTGTACAACGCAGAACATTTACATGTTAAAAATGGCAGAAAAAACATTTGAGTTTATGCAGTAAGACTGATTGTTAGCTGTCAATTGTCGAGCTAATGACAATGCTATTAACAGCATATTCAGTTAATACAGCAAGACAGATGGTTAGGGTAAAAGGAATAACAGCTAAATGAAATGTTCTGACATTTTTGACTCATTTCTGGGGTAAAGACAGTCGGGAAATTGAATCGCTGCTCTCTGTGTGAATCAATCATAAACATCACAAACATCCAGTGGTAAAATTACATTACCCCACCTCCCTATGGAAAGCTAATCCTGTTTAAATAGTATCTGACCAATTAATTAAAGAGCTACTAATGAATCAGATGAATAGATGAGGGAAAATACAAATATCTGCACAGTGTGGAATAGGGGCAGGCCGTATAGCAAAAATATAAGTTCAGAAAACATTGCCTTGTTTAAAAAATGCTGTCAAAAACTGAATATAGTGATTAATATATTAATATAGTGATCAATTAAGCATTGATTAATGATGCTCTCTTTGTAATGAAACATGCACTTGTTTATTGTTCTTTACGTACTGATGCTATCCACATGTTTGGTATTAAAGAAGACACACAGCTGATGCACAAGTTGTGCTTTATTGTCCAGCTGTAGTCGGCCACGTCCACGCTATACAATAAACAAGGCTTTCTGCCAACAGCTCGCTCTACACTCAGCTCACGTCTGCACACTCTCGCTGCAGCTCTGACTGACCACAGTTCTTCCTGTTCTAACAGATACATCCCCTAAGGAAGGCTAGTCCCACCTTCACAATAAGAGTCCCTCAGCAAATAAATGCTGTGAAACAATTAACCCAGAATTAACATTTCTCAAACACGCTTCAGTATTTTATAGCAATAATGATCGCTGACATAGTATTGCCCACCCCTATGTCACAGATAGTCCCAAAACTGACCCTTAAAAATGGTCAGTGAAGGGACTAACAAAAATTATTTGTTAATTTTAATGTTAATTGCGTACAGCACTACGCAATACCTTCTCAGACTACATCTAAAAAACATTAGTGAAAATGAATGCCAAAGAGTGTGTACTGTGTTTTCCTCTTTCAAGAGTGGTTGCAAGTGGTCTTGATTGAATGATAGGTCAGGCTGCACAGGAAAGGTCCCCTGTTGTGGCTTAACACTGATGTGATTTAGAACATCTCCTTCTTGTGCTGTGTTTGCTGAACCTACCATTTAATCCATGACTGTCACCATAGAAACTACATGAGAAACCCTTGCTGATAAAGACAGTCACATTCTGAGATTACAGTTCAGTTAAGTGAAAGTGGTTAAAGTGTAACAGTGGCGGCACATTAATCAATGGCTTTTCTTCATTTGCACACAGTGAAGAACACCAGTCTTGATTATAAACCTCTCTCTGAACAGCAGCCCCTCCCATTCAGTGGAGATAAGCACTTCAAAGTAGCTTTTCGGTCTTTTTCCTCACACTGAGGATGTTTTTACAGGTTCAAATCGCAGGCCTGGAGAGGCTCTCCTTTATCTATTGTTCTGCTGTGACTGTTTTCATAAACCGGCCACTGTGCAGGACCCAAAGGAAAAGGCTGTGTGACTGGAGTGGTGCCAAAGGCATTGCTAGGAGAGCTCTAAGAGCGGAGGGCCAGGAGGAGGCTGAGCCATTAATGATTTAGCCTGAGTAAGGGAGGGGAGGGGAGTGGAGTACAAGGGCTTAACTCTCTCACAGGAAAAGCAGCTTCAGTAGAAAAAACTTTCACCTCACACTCAGGAGCTAGACTTCCGAGGAAAACTCATCTCGACGTTGGGGGGAAAAGCTGTCAACATCTGATGTGTGAGGTTTTTGCTTATATTTTACTGAAGTAAGTAGAGCACCACGAGAAGTCAAGATGTTTGCTGTGCATTTGCTGTCTTTTTACTTCACCAAGCTGCAGGAGGATCAGATCAAAAAGGTACTTTTTAATCACTGAATTGTCAAAATGTTAAAATGTATGAAATATATTGCATCATATATTTACTTGTAAATTAAAAAATCAGTATAGTTACAACTTTGTATTAATGAACCTGTTTGAGCTGTAAATTTTACCTCAATCCATTTGAAGCTCTAAATGATGTGCACATTTATCAGATGCTGTCTTCTAAGCTTTACTGAAGGCACTCGAAACTAAATTTTAAACATGTTGATTCCCATTGTGATTCCATTGTGCCCACAAGCAGAGATCCACTCTTGTATTTTCTCTCGCTTGAATGAGAAATCATGCTCAAATGACAGTCTGAGTTAGTATAATCCCACCTACACGTTTGCCAGTCACCTCCTCAGCAGAGCTGGCCTGATGCTGGTGATGAATGTGGTTACACGGTGGCCCCTGCGAATCATTAACTCTCTTATGTCACATCTCATTGGTGTGTGGAAAGTAAGTGGAGGCCAAGGACCTTGCCCTTTCCCTCAACGTTCATTGGGCTGAAATAGTCTCTATTAAGTTTACCACATTTATTTTTAGAAAAGAATTTGGACAGATTGCATCAGATGTTTGTTGTACTATATTCCAGTCTGGGGTCATTAGCCATTTTTAGAATACAGTAAAGCTCTCTTACTATACCTTTGTCTAATATCTCATTCCTTCTTCAATCCTATGCTCATTTGTTGTACAGGCACACCCCTGTTATCTTTTGGAACGTCATATAATTGTAGTAGACATCTAAATCACTAGCATTATGACTTTACCACTCATCTTACGACTTTTCTGGGTAACCGAAATGTACCAAAACAGTGACAGAAGACAGGTTCACCCAAAATGTTGATGTGGATGATAATGAAGAGAAGTCAGTAGGACTAATTAGCCTTCATGTAAGCTTATGCTCACTGAACCCCATTAGTTTTCAGTCATTGTTATCCACAGTGTAAACGTTCTATATTGGGCCTTTCTTATCTACATTCTGTGGCTTACATCGTTTTGGTAAATATCAGGACAGTTACAGAAAGTCTTAGACCAATGAACCCAGCAAGCACAACAAGCAGGATGGCAAATATGCTGTAAAGAGGAATTCCACAAATTCTTAGAATTTTTTTGCATAATAGATTCATTGAGATGTAAAGAATAAAATGGTGGTGATAGGAACCAGGAGCCACATTGTTTACAACACAAAAGTAGCCAATCAATGTGTCTTCTGAGGTTTTATATGTAATGTTGACGATGGTAAAATAGTGGTAAATCTGAAATAAACATGGTTTAATGCCTTTTAATGCCCTGCATGTACCCCTCTGCTATGGACAGCTTTTGAAACATATATAGGCCAAAAGCTTATCTCAAAACCATCATAAAACAACGTGTCAGGCATCAGGCAGTGCATTCGTGACCATTTCATGTCATAATGTTTTACGAGGTAACTTTCAGAGGCATTAAAATGCTTTGGATGTTTGGTTCCCATCACCACCACTGTGAACAATTCAAACCACTCTGAATGGACTGTTTACAGGTTTACATCTTAATGAATGTTTACATCTTGATATTTAAGATTCCGGGTATCAAGCATTTAGGGAACTGGAAGATGCTTTGTCATTAAGTCAGGCTGCAGCCTATTCCATGCAGTCATCACCATATCTATTCCAACACTTCCACCCTGTAAACTCACCATATTCTGGCAATCAACCAAAATAATGTTTTCATATAAACACATCCAACTGCAGCACCCTTTACTATAAAGACTGTAAAGCATGTGTTTGAGCACCACAGGCACATTTGCCAAATGAAGATGATTCTCATTGGTGTGTGGAAAGTAAGTGGAGGCCAAGGACCTTGCCCTTTCCCTCAACGTTCATTGGGCTGAAATAGTCTCTACTAAGTTTACCCCCTTTATTTTTAGAAAAGAATTTGGACAGATTGCATCAGATGTTTGTTGTACTATATTCCAGTCTGGGGTCATTGGCCATTTTTAGAATACAGTAAAGCTCTCTTACTATACCTTTGTCTAATATCAGCCATTACCATATCTATTCCAACACTTCCACCCTGTAACATCACCATATTCTGGCAATCGACCAAAATAATGCAATTGCAGCACCCTTTACCATCAAGACTGTAAAGCAAGTGTTTGATCACTAAAGGCACATTTGCCAAATGAAGATGACATATTTGAGTTAAAATCAGACAGCTAAGATGTACAAAGGTGTGAAAAACAACACAGCAAACTTCTAAACCTAAACTAAATCCAAAGAAGACATGGCTGAGAAAAAATTAGGCCACTGAGGTGAGCAAAGACTGGAAAAAAAACCCCACACCGCTCACTTAAAAACCTAAACCTAATCAACGAAGGAAAAAACATATCAGCATGGCAGGCATAAAAATGTTCCTTCCTGTCTTACCTTTGTTTCACTGATGTTTGCTTTGACATTTGATATTACACGAAGCCCATTTCAGCGTCGCTAGTAAAACTGATGACAATGTTTTTTTCTGGCTTCGGATGGGTAGAAAATGACGAAATCTCACTTTTATACATCCCCAGTTACATCTTTTAATGGCAACTGCAGTTTTAAATTCAAGCACTGGCGCACAACTGTTGCTGTGCAGTGACTGGAGGCTTGAATAAATAAGGCAGAGCTTGACGGAGAGCATATAAAAACAGTCCACACAGAAAACAATCCAGATTGCAAAATTTGTAACAAATTTGGCTTAATTAATATTCTTTCCCTATTTGATGGGGTTGGCCTGTGCAGCCCCTGTGTTAAGCTATAAACATTTTTCAGTGATTCTTTGGTGAACCGCTCTTTTAAGGCATAAAGCCTTTGAGAGTCACAGTTTTCTGTGCTTTTAACTTCTCTATTTCAACAGGTGGACCGCTTCCTATATGCCATGCGCCTCTCCGATGAGCAGCTTTGGGACATTTCGAGACGTTTCAGAGAGGAGATGGAGAAGGGTCTGTCCCGGGAGAGTAACGCCGCAGCTGCTCTGAAGATGCTGCCCACACACGTGTGCTCCACTCCAGACGGCTCCGGTACACTTCAGTATTTATCAGAATATCAAAAGCACGTCAGATGTTGTCAAATGGCTTCTCCCAAAGAGCTACTGAATTTTGTTTACTCTTCCTTTTGCATCTAAGCTAAATCTAATGCAGGCTTTTTTCTTTCGTGACTTTTTTTTTGAGCTTTTTAGTGTCTTATGGTGAACTTTGTGTTTTAACATCAAGCACAAATTGTACCTTTCAAGGAACTTTCACTGGGCATAGACCGAGATAGCAAAACTGCTTTTAAAGCTGCACTATGTAAGTTTTTTTTTTTTGATAAAACTAAAAGATGAAGTATTACTGAGTCAGGAAAAAACCTACAAAAATATGTTGTGTATTTACTTCACCCTGTAAAGCCTGAAATAATAATTCAGAAGCCAGAAGTGTCGGGTCTGATTTGGCAGGAGTTTTTGAACCACATCACATCATATCTTTTTGTATTAATGTTACACACACAAAGTCAATAAGAAGGTCCGGCTCAATGTTTAGGTCTCAAATGCAAACTCAACATTATACTAATAAAGATGTATGACGATAGTAAATAATTCACTTACGTCCTCGGGAAGACACGTCCTTCACCAAGTTTTGACTGTTCTCTTTGAGTGCTCTGTCAAGTCATTCGCAAACACAAGGTTTATTTGCTTGGGGAAGGGGTCTGAAGCACAACTGACACAATCGCGAAATGTTGTATGCCGCGTGTTATGTGCAATTACACATTTCCACCAGAGAGGTCTCCAAATGGCCAAATCTTACTTAGTGCAGCTTTAAAAATGTCACTAATGCCGTGATGCTCCTGCGGTTGATGCTGATTTTTTTCTGTGAATATGTTAAAACACTTCTAAAATAATTGGGATGCAAAACTGAATGCAGCTATCTAGGCCTATCGGGAGGACTGTTATGTGCTGTATCTTACTTTAGAAGTATACTTTTTACAAAGAAATAAAAACTGGCCAAAAAAAATGTTAAACAAAGTTCATAGAAGGTAATAAATCATACTTTAATATGTTTTACACATTGCGTTTATTTTAAATAGACAGATTCTCTGAAAATGACTGCTTTGTGGTTGTGACCCTTGTAGAGAAAGGTGAGTTCCTGGCACTGGATCTTGGTGGTTCCAGGTTCAAGGTGCTCCAGGTGAAGGTATCTGAGGATGGAAAAAGAAAAGTGCAGATGGAGAGTGAGACCTTCCCCATCCCAGAGGAGATTCTCAATGGAAGAGGAACAGATGTAAGTTCTTCACATCGAAGTTTTATTAGTAGAGATGCTATGTTAGGATGTGTTATGTAGTTTGCTCTTATTACCTTTCAATAAAACACCATGTTAGAAGTTAATATATAGAATTTCATCTATATGAGTGGTTTGCTCTTACTGTCTATGAGTAAAATGGGATACCAGTTGAAACAGTGTGAGAGTGAATGAGAATGATGTCAGCAGTTCAAAGTCCTCCCTTTTCACATTAAGGAGGAGGTGATTGTGGTTAAATTTCACCTTCTAGGTTTCACAGCTTTACCCTGAGAAACACTCTGCATCCTTAATTACATCAATCAGGAGAATCCTCAGCTACACTCATATGCGAAAGTTTGGGCACCCCTGGTCAAATACGTTTTGTTGATTTTCTAAGTGAAAATAAGTAAACACATCCCCTACAGAGAACATACTTCTCCACGTTTTAATGCACGATTACTGCTTATTTGCTGAATTTAACATATTGAGCGAAATAAAATATCAAATGTGCCCTGTGCAAAAGTTGTGGAACATTTTTGATTTTGTGCTTTATGGTTTTCCAGTGATAAGTGTTTTAGATGATATGTGTGTGTGTTTTCCAATGTGTTAAATTGAGCAAATAAGTAGAAATTGTGTGCTAGAATTCACAGAAAATGCCGTATTTAAGTTTATACCCTGTAGAGGACGTTTGCTTTTGACTTAGAACAGCAAAAAAAAACTTCTAATTTGTCTGGAGAGGTGTTCAAACTTTTGCATACAATTGTATTTACAATGCCTTCAGAAACTATCCAGTTACTTACAATTATAAATATAGCAAAAAGGTTATTTTTCGTAAATTGAAAGCACAGATAAATCATTTCAGTTAAACTGAGCTTAATATGATGTGCAATCTGACAACCATGGAACAAGCAGTTTTAAGATCTAAAAACAATGACAAGTTTTCTGTTGTAACACAGAGGGATTAGGAAGAGGAATGAGGAAGAGGGGGGGTGGGAGAGAGGGAGGGAGTAGGAGTGGGGATAGTGGGATAGAGCAATACATAAGAAATACATGATACACAGAAGGGGAAAAGGGGGAATAAAGAAGTGTCATCCAAACTAGGAGGTTGAGGGGTATATTTTACTTTTTGTTGATCGTTACTGTCCAGTTGAGTCGAATAAGAGGTTAGCAAGAAGAGCCGATAAGGAATACTCAGGAAAATGACACAACATCCTGTAGAGCAATTAAGAGACGTTGAATGACCATTGAACTGTCACGTTCTTTGACACAGCTTCCTGTATTGTCTTTTATTATAGACTGTAGATAAAGACAGAATATTGATTTTGACAGCCTGGCATGTTGTATACTGTCATCTTTTAAACTTTGGCTTAGTTGGATTGACCCCTGTTCATGTCTCTTCATTTGTCTTACAGCTTTTTGATCATGTGGCACAGTCTTTAAAAACCTTCATGCAGAAGAATAACATCAACCAGAAGAAGAAACCACTGGGCTTTACCTTCTCTTTCCCTTGTCTCCAGTCTATACTAGATGAGGTACAAAGCACTGAGAATTTTAAGAATCTGATGATACCACAAAACATTTACATACAGTGCTGGGCAAAAGTCAGACAGCACTCTTCACTCATTTAATTTCCAGTCAAAATGGCCATTAAGTACAGGCTATTAATTTTTCTGGAGATATTTCTGAGGAGATTAGATATAAGATAATCCACATGCATAAGGAATAAGAAAGTCAAAGGAAAAATAAGAGAAAAAACAGGAGTTTCCAAAACTGGAGTTCAAAAACATATTTAAAATATAGACAAAATGGGGCCGCTTACAAACAAAAAATCTGTTTTCATCAGATAAACAGTACTTCAAGCTTTCATCTTTGAGAGAGAGGAAAAAAATCAAGCTCCACTCTTGCTTTAGATCTGAAAAAATCCACAAGTGCTTCTGTTCATTCAACCACTGTGAGAAGAAAGCTCAACACTATGAGTCTTAAAGGATGTGTAGCTGTCAGGATGCTGTTACTGAGAAAAGGAAACAGACAAAAAAGAAGAATGTTTGTAAATCGAACCAGAGTCCAGACCTCAATATTTGGATTGTGTGAAGCAGAAAACGCAACCAACTTCTAAGACTGAACTTTGAAGGTGTAGAAAAATATACCTGCAGATTTCTTTAAAAACTGAAAGCAAGTCTACTGAAAATGTATATTATGTTTAGTTGTTGAGGCTTCTGTGTAATTTTCTTGTTTTTATGTTTTCTCTTTTTTTCTTGATGCTGAAAAATGTTTAACTTGTACTTCATGGTCATTTTGAATGGAAACTAAATAAATGAAGCATGGCTTTTGCACAGTACCAGTTATTGGCTAGCAGGGGGTGCAACAACACCTCCAGCACCCCTGCATCCCACAGTTATGCCTCTGATCAATACATTGATAAATCAGCGCAAGTCACTTCATAGCTTTCTAATGCTGTCCTGAAGATGTTTCTTCTAAATTGTTACAGGGTGTGCTACTCTCATGGTCAAAGAACTTCAAGGCCAGAGGTGTACAAGGCACCGACGTTGTACAGGCACTGAGGCAAGCCATCAGCAATGTGGGGGTATGAAAAAATAGCTAATACTTAATATATAATTTATTTAATTTTAAAGAACGTAAAAATGCTGACATGAAACAAAGTGCTTTGAAGTTATAAAGCCAGTGCTGTGTGTGGAAACAGGGGATTGATGTGGATGTCCTGGCGCTTGTCAATGACACAGTGGGGACCATGATGACCTGTGGATATGATGACCAGCATTGTGAGGTGGGAGTCATCATAGGTGAGACCACACTGACCATGCCTGAATACTAATTGAACTATGATCTGATCAGGTTTTGATTGCAGGAGTATTGTATCCACATAAAGTATATTTCATTTGATTACCCAATTCTCAATTTAAAAAAAAAAAAAGTAGAATCTTGTATTTTTTTCTGCAAAGACACTCTATCAAATGTTCAGCATCCTTTTAATTATTTCTGATGTCATAAAGTCAGTTTAAACACAGATGATGTCAGTCTGTGTGCTCCGTCAGGTACGGGCACCAATGCGTGCTACATGGAGGAGCTGAGATACATTGACCTGGTGGAAGGAGACGAGGGCAGGATGTGCATCAACACAGAGTGGGGCGCTTTCGGAGATGATGGGGTGCTTGATGATTTCATCACGAATTTTGATCGTGAAATCGATGCAGCTTCCATCAACCCTGGAAAACAGTTGTATGTTTTTACTAACCAATTAAACACTGAGCTTAGTATTCAGTTATTAATCTTCAGGCTTATTATAGACTTATCACTATGAAGCAAATATATAGCTATATTATGTAGCTTTGCAGCTATATAAGCCTCCACTCTTGTGGGAAAGCTTTCCACAAGTTTTTGGAGCGTGTCTGTGGGATTTTGTGTCCATTTGGACAAAAGAGCATTTGTCAGGTCAGACACTGATGTTGGATAAGAAGGGCTGACTCACAATCAGTGTTACAAATCATCCCAAAGGTGTTCATTGGAGTTGAGGTCAGGGCTCTGTGTAGGCCACTGAAGTTCCTCTACACCAAACTCCTCAAACCATGCCTCACTTTGTGCACAGGCACAGTCCTGCTGAAACAGGAAAGGGCCTTAGCCAAACTACTGTAACAAAGTAGAAAGCATTTAATAGTCTAAACGTCATGAATGCTGTAGCATTAACATTACCCTTCACTAGAACTAAGGGGCCGAGCCCAAACTGTGAAAAACAGCCCCAGACCATTATCCCTCCTCCACCAAACATTACTGTTAGCACTCTGCATTCCGGTACATAGCGTTCTCCTGGCATTCCCCAAAACAGATTCATTGATCAGACTGCCAGATAGTGAAGTGTGATTCATAACTTCAGAAAACACTTCCATTGCTCCAGATTCCAGTGGCTGTGTGCTTTACACTGCTCCTCACTGCTGACGCTTGTTATTGCACATATTGATCTTAGGCAAGGTGCGAAATACACAGGGTCCTGGGGGGGTCCAGGACCTCCTAATTAACCTCTTGGACCCCCTGAATGTCTCAAAATGAAAATTCTGGGGGTCCCTGAAAAAAAAAAAACTGATTATGACGCTATGCTCTCTCTTAGGGAAAAATGCTCAAATACAAATTCAGGGAAAGCTCACTGTTCAGCTGCTTCATCCACAATCACTGAGCTTCTGTCTTTGATATTCTTGAATAACTAGAGCTGCAGCACTGCTCTGCCTCAGGGTGTCACTGCAGCAATTTATAGTTCACCCAGTTGGTCCTTCATGGCCTAGCAACAGTAACTATGCCTGTGATAACTGAAAAACTTTACAATATGCCACAATATTTATAAATCCGAAAACATCCCTATTTCACAAGAGATTGGTGGAAATAGTGAATTGTTACTCTTTTTACAAACTGAAGACAAAAGATGAGATGTGTAAGATCTCAATTAATATGTGGAAGAGTGCATTACTAAACTAGAAAGGAGCTTTTCCAAAAAAGAATTGCCAAAGCTGCAGTAGCCAGCCAATGGGACCACCCCAAATACCAGGACGTATTTCGTACACTGATCTTAGGCTTGTGTGCAGCTGCTCAGCCATGCAAACCCATTTTATGAATCTCCAGATGCGCAGTTATTGGGCTGATGTTGCTTCCAGAGGCAGCTTGGAACTCTGTAGCGAGTGATGCAACAGACAACAATTTTTAGGTGCTACATGTTTTAGCACTTAGGGGCCCCTCTATGAGTTTGTGTGGTCTACCACTTGGTAGCTGAGCTGTTGTTGGTCCTTCACAACTGCACTTACAATTGACAAGGGCAGATCTAGCAGGGCAGAAATTTCACTAACTTGTGGCAAAGGTGACATGCTATAACAGTTCCACATCATTCTTCAGTACGAGCCATTCTACTGCCAATGTTTGTCTATGTAGATTGCATGACAATGTGCTTGATATTATACACTAATATACACTAATGGGTGTGGCTGAACCACCTGAACTCAAAATTAGGAAGGGGTATCCACATACTTTTGGCCATATAGTGTATGTAGGGAGGGAAGTCTGGACTGGAAGGTTCTTGGTGTTTAAAGAACTAACCAAAGAACTAATAAGGATTTATATGGTAACTAAAACTGAGAGGTTGCAGACATATTTAGTATTCAGTGGCAGCAGTGGATCAGTGGTAAGGGCATCACACCCTTCCTAGAGTCTTGCAGATCTAAACATTTTAACCCCTTCTCTGGCACGACATAGAACTTATATACAATTTAATCCATACTCACCACTAAATGGTTCTCTTGACTTCCCTGCCTTTTAGCTGAACATGGCAAATACAGTGCTTAATGGTATATTCTATCATAACACAGGCTTGCTTAGTGATATACTGTGCCTTTGCACTGTTCAATGATATATTCTTAACCAGATATATTTCAACCAATCCATGATTTGTCTGTGAGATAGAGCTGCAAATCAATTTCATAGATGTTGTTTTTCCTGGTCTTGTTTCCTCAAGGTTTGAGAAGATGGTGAGTGGGATGTACATGGGGGAGCTGGTGAGGCTTATTCTGCTGAAGATGGCCAAGCGGGGTTTGCTCTTTAAGGGTCGAGTCTCGGATGCTCTTCGGACCAAGGGAAAATTTCAGACCAAGCATGTCTGTATGATCGAAGAGTAAGTGTTTCATAAGCACAATTTAGCTTACCAAATTACTAATCAGTGGTGTTTCAGCTATCAGGAGTCCTTTAGCCTCAAACTCTAGGTCATTGAATCTGCTGGACTCCATACAAACCAGAATCAGTCTTTTTTGTTAATGTATTTGTGACTAAAACATGATATAGTAAAACTGTAAAAAACATTTTATCAGTACTAACAAAATAATACAATATATTTTTAGACCATATATGGATATAGAGCTACAAAAGCAGCCCTTTTTGAAATCTTTATAATTTCCCAAATCCAGTGCATTTACATACATATGCCTATTCAGCCTTTAGCAGTTTAGTCGCACCCACTGACAATGAAACTATAAAGAGTGCTTCAGCCTGGAGGGCTCTTTGAATGAGGCACAAACAGGAGAGCCAATCAGAACAGAGCTTATTTACATATATCAGTCTTACAGACACAGTGACAAAGCAGCCTATTTAAATGTAGAACTGGTTTCTGTTTTCAGGTACAAAGACGGACTGAGGAACACAAGGGAAATCCTCACCGAATTGGGCCTCAGTCCCACTGAGGATGATTGTATTGCAGTACAGCATGTTTGCACCATCGTGTCCTTCAGGTCAGCTAACCTGTGTGCTGCCACCCTGGCTGCCATCCTCACCCGCATAAGAGAGAACAAGAAGCTGAAGACCCTGAGGACCACTGTTGGAGTGGATGGGACAGTCTACAGAACTCACCCTCAGTATGTCAGCTCACTCCCCTCCACCCCTGCAGCCCCTGTGTACCTAAACACTGAGCAATGTCCAGATAAAACATAGTTAATCTCAGTGATGTAAATCAAAATTAAATAAAAATTAATATAACAATTTCTGCATTATCATGAAGATCACAAATTTCACCACGATCGAATTTGATAAATGAGATTTGACAAACTATTTATATAGTAGTGGAATATAGAAAATAAAAACAACATTGCAAAACATTTTGAGTTTGAAAATATATAATATATAAAAGAATTTTGTTTTTGCAAAAAAATGAGCTCAAACATTGTTTATTTTATTATTGATTGTAAAATCCTAAACTCTGTGCAATTGAATTACCACCTTCAGATCATTTTTGCACTCCTTGTTGATATGCAAATAAACCTAATTGGAGATGTACCTGCAGGTATGCCAAGAGGCTCCATAAGGTGGTCCGGCGTCTGGTGCCTGACTGTCACGTGCGTTTTGTGCTATCAGAGAGTGGCAGTGGGAAGGGGGCTGCCATGGTGACTGCAGTGGCACAGCGTCTAGCGTCCCAGCGCAAAGAAATCAATGACACCCTCGCAGCCTTCACACTCAGCTCAGCGCAGCTCCAGCAGGTGAAGGAGAAGATGCGGGTGGAATTGGAGCGTGGCCTGAAGAAAGACACTCATGACACCGCCTCAGTCAAAATGCTGCCTTCCTACGTTTACAGGACTCCAGATGGGACAGGTAAGAGAGCCGCATACAGCCAGAATATGACAAGCAGAGTGGCTTTAGATATGCAGAACACTCTCTGTGACAGCTCTTCCATGTACCTGTGGTATTTACAATGACTTGAATGAAGTACTATGGAAACCAGTCAAGAGTCTGTTTATGTTGTTGGCTGTGAAGTTCAAGGTGGAGTTAGGGACAAATAAGTTATATCTTCATTTAATTATATTATTTTTTGGTGACGCTGCTCCTTCAGAGAGAGGAAAGTTCCTTGCTTTGGATCTGGGTGGAACCAATTTCCGAGTGTTGGTGGTTAAGATCCGCAGTGGAATACGCAAATCCGTCCGCATGTATAACAAGATCTACGCAATTCCACTGGAGATCATGCAGGGCACTGGAGAAGAGGTACAAATATATACCTTCTTGTAGTTTAGTGTTGGTGCATTATGTCAGTGTTATCAATTAAAAAATTCAGAATTCCTGCCATCTTAATTCAAAATGGGAATGCACTGCTTTATTACCTTCATTTATTTAATTTCCAATCAAAATGGCCATTAAGTACAAGTTATTTCTTTTTCAGTGTCAGGAAAGAGCTTCTGTTCTTTTTGGGAGGCTTACTATATTTTTCCACACCTCCAGAATTCAGTCTTAGATGTTGATTGCATTTTCTGCTTCTCACAATCCAAATAATCCCAAACACATTCAGTGATGTTGAGGTCTGAACTCTGGGGTGGTAAGGCCATTGTTATGAGACCCATAACACTGGGACTCATTCACCAATATCTTCCTAAGTTTGTTCTTAAATTTGTTCTTGAGAAAGATCCTAAGAAAAAGTCTACATCCACAATGTGTTCTTAAACTGCAGAATTGTTTGCATTTTTGTGTTCTTGAGTGTGTGTAGATTCTGTTCTTACCTAAGAACAAATCCCAAATAAGAAAACTTTGGTGAATATCAAAATCTTCATAAAAACTGCATGAGTTTTAAGAAGAAATTTCTTCTTAAGAACAGTTGATGAATGAAGCCCATGTAGTTGTCTTCTCACAGTAGAAGGATGAACAGAAACACCTGCGAAAATTTTCAGATCTGACAAAAGAGTGGAGCTTGATTTTCTGTCTTTCTCTTAAAGACAAAAGTTTTAAGTTCTATTTATCTGATGGTGACAGGTTTGGTGGTCTACCAGGTGTTGCATGATTGTTTAGAGTCTGTGTGCGAAATGCTCACTGGCAATAGGGGGGTCCCATGTTGCATGGTTACTCCAGTGTTGGCTGGCTGCTAACTCACTTACCATAGTGGTCCTGATGCTACTTCACTGACAACAAAATGTTTAGTTCAACAATTCTTCTTTTGGAAATGCTCTTTGCTAGCTTGCTTTCCTCTCATTAATTGGGGTTATACACATCTCCTCTTTTGTTTTTTGCTTTGGTAAGTAAGTAACAATTCACTTTTTCCACCAGTCTCTTGGGAAATTGGGCAAGTTTTTATATTTATTAATATGCTGTGGCATATTGTACAGTTTTTCAGCAGTATCCCAAGCACAGTAGTTGGCTATGAAGAACCCAATATGCTACAGCACCACCCTGAGGCACATTAGTGCTGCATCTCTAGTTAGATAAGAATATTAAACGAATTTTTAGAGTTCCCAGTTTGTGGTTGAAGCACACTGAGCAATGACCTATGAGGTTAATTACAAGGCCCTGGACCCTCCAGGACTCCCTGTATTTTGCACCTTGTTAGGAGTCCCATTTTATCCACATCTTTTAATCAACGTTTGAACTCTAGTTTTGTCTTATTTTACTTTGACTTTCCTCTTCCTTGTGCAAGTGGACTTTCTTATTTCTAATCACCTCAGAAATAGATACTAAAAAATGAATAGCTTGTACTTAATGGCTGTTTAGACTGGAAATTAAATAAATGAAGGGAGGTTTCTGACTTTTGCACAGTACTGTTTTTTTTTTTTAAAGAACAGTTCCTTCCATTCCTCATGTCTGTGACTACATATTACATATTAGTTTCATTTTACCGATTAATTCAGAGTGGTTACTGAATAATAAGCCTGGAGTTTAGATGGGAGTTAATGCTAACGAATGATAATCAAGTTTTCAGACTGCATAAGCTTTGAAGAAATATTTAATCAATGTTCCTTCTTGTTTCAGCTGTTTGATCACATAGTGCACTGTATCTCAGATTTCCTGGACTACATGGGGATGAAGAACACCCGCCTGCCACTGGGCTTCACCTTCTCTTTCCCATGCAGCCAGACTGGTATAGATAAGGTAAGGAGGACATTGCCTGTGCTAATCAGAGTTGTTGCTCAGTAAAGAGGCTTAATGTACCTCTGATGACACCAGTTTAACCATGAGAGATAGATATATGTATTACAGCGTCATTATCTGGTCAAAAATGTTTTTTGCACTGTAAATAACAACACTGATACAATGTGCTCTGTAACATGCATTTTAAACTCTGCAGGCATATCAAAGTCTCTCAGTGTTTATTTTCCCTACTGTTGTCCATTGTGCCATTTCCGTGTTTAGGGAACTTTGGTGAGCTGGACAAAAGGCTTCAAAGCTACTGACTGCGTGGGGCATGACGTGGTGGATATGCTGAGGGAGGCCATAAAGAGACAAAACGTAAGAGGACAGCACTCATATTACGTTAACTGTGATGATTCAAAGGGCCCATTTCAAGGAAAACCAATTTTCCTAATTTCTTTTTAAATAAAAGAATTTGATGTAGAATATAAACATTGTTAAAGTCTCAAAATATATCCTTTACTCTTCAGTTCTACAGTGCATTAATAGACATTAGGCTGGAAAAAAAACATCCCATTCTGAATTTATAGTTTTTGTAATGTCACAAAAATGAATCCATTTACATATGTCTCTCAATTTAGCCTTCTGTAGTTTAGCTCCACCCATTCACATTAAAGTTACAAGGAGTGCTTTAGCCTGGACTACTTTTTGAATGATGGGCAACACAGAGCAACTAATCAGAACAGATGTCATTTACATATATAGTTGTATGCAAATGTTTAGGCACCCTTGGTCAAATTGCATGTTTTCTTCATTTTCCTCTACAGAGAACACACTTCTTCACATTTTAGTGCACAATAATTGTTTGTTTGCTGAATTTAACATATTGGAGAAAAAAAAACATAAAATGTGTTTTTCCAAAAATATGGCTCATTGTATATTTTATTATTTATTTTTTCAACATGTTAACCTCAGCAAATAAACAGAAATTGTGCACTAAAATTAGTAAAAACGCCATATTTAAGTGTGTTCTCTGTAGAGGATGTGTTAACTTATTTTCACTTAGAAAAGCAAAAAAAACATGAAATTAGATGGGGGTATTGTAATTTTTGCATCACCCTAAAGGCACAGTAAGAAAAACAGCCTGTTTATCCCTTAGAATTAAAGAGTGGTTTGAGAAAGATCATGTAAAAATGGACCTTGGGGAGCAAATTGAACACAACATTCATGTAGGAAATGGACCCTTCTTATAGATTTACGGGAGGTTTCCTCCACCCCATGCTTGGAGATCTACTGCCCTGAAGAGTTTACTACCAGTACAGCTGGTTCTAATATTTACGAGCTGCTGCTGACCTTGATCAACTGGATTAGGTGTTTTAGGTTAGTGCTGGAAGTAAACAGCAGGGCTGTAGAAGCAGGGTTGGTTAGCCATGGTCTACAATGTTCCCTTTCTTCCCTTATCTGTGGAATCACTGCACCCATTGTAATATGTCAATAATCCTTATATGTGTTATGTATTATATTCTGTCTTCTTAGGAATTTGACCTTGACATTGTTGCTGTGGTGAACGACACAGTTGGCACGATGATGACGTGCGCATATGAAGATCCTAAATGCGAGATTGGACTTATTGCTGGTATGGTTTCAAACCAAACATTTGTCTCATTTTCCCGAAGTCCAAAAGCCCTCATTTAACCCCTTCACTTAATGTGTCATACTTATCCTACCTTTAAGCTCAAGTCACAGTAACTTTGCTCCTTATTTCAGTTGTATATTCATAAAATACATAAAGCAAAATTATCCATATGGAGGAAAAATATAAGTACATAAATTTGGTCTTATAGAATATAAAATATATGTGCGATATATGAGATGTTTTAAAATCTATCTGCTAAAAACGTTTTGATTAAATGTATTAAATTAGTTTTTGAATATATGCACATATACGTCACTATATTGAAATATATGCACCTTGGTAGGTGATATATACATATAATAGTGTTAGTTTTAATATTTACATATATATCAATATATCATTGCTGTCTAAAGGAATGCAAGTATCTCCAAAATTAAAACTTCATAGGAGAACACAAAAAATTCTTTACTTTTTTTTCTTTGTAATGTAAGGTAGTGTAAAGGCATTTTGTTCCAACCAGTTTGGGAGAATTTCTGTTGGTCCATTCATCATGAAATTTTCATAAAATGTAAAGGACTGCTGCTGTGCTCAAATGATGTACAATAACGAAAATCAAAAAATGGAGACTTTCTCTTTTTTTGGACAGTGATGACATGTGGAAATATATTACAAAATTACAGACAAATATTTTAAATGGAAATATATTTCTTTTATAAATTTTACTTATATCCCAGTGACTTTCTGTAAACACATATGCTACCCTGCAAATCTAAAAAATAAAAAAAGTCCCTAGTGGGCTTCTCTGGTTTTCACTGTGTTCCCTGACCGTCCAGGAACGGGCAGCAATGTGTGCTACATGGAGGAGATGAAGAACATTGAAGTAGTGGAAGGGGATGAGGGACAGATGTGTGTTAACACAGAGTGGGGCGGTTTTGGGGACAACGACAACATTGAGGACATCCGGACCAGGTTTGACCAGGAGGTGGACCAAGGCTCCCTGAATGTGGGGAAACAAAGGTGGGAGCAGCTGTGCTTTTCTCTTCATCCAAATATGGGGATTTTGATGTTTTGATATTAATGATATTGAGGATATTGAGATATATCTCTATCATAAATTGCATTAGATAAAATAGACCTACTCAATATAGGAAAAAGTATTTGCTCAGTATTTACTCTTCTGAAGTGAGCCTATGTTTTTTGCACTTTTTTGTGGCCTATTACTTTATCGTTTCATATTTGCCCACTTGGAGGCACTGCAGTATAACAAACGCCTAGACTGGTGGCTTTTTCAACCTCCTGTAGAAATGTGAGGTGCTTATAAAGAGCCAGAGTTATTGACATGCTGCTTTGGAGGGTATTGGTTTTTGTTTCTGTTTTACCTACAATGAAGGCTCTTCCTAGCTAATATGGCAGACTGAAGACAGAGGCCACGTTCCATTCTGCAGTCTTTCTCACATGCTGTTATCTTGCATTCGTCTGCAGGTTTGAGAAGATGACCAGCGGAATGTACCTGGGAGAGATCGTCAGGCAGATTCTCATAGACCTCACCAGACGGGGTCTTCTGTTCCGTGGCCGCATTACAGAGCCTCTGAAGACCAGGGGCATCTTTGAGACCAAGTTCCTCTCACAGATTGAAAGGTAAACCTCCAGAGATAGCTGCTCGAATCTCACAGCTATCCCGAGGAACTGAAAGGCAGTGGGGTCTACTATGACCATAATAAAAAAACAAATTTAGTTCACTTGAGCTCTCGTAAAGGAACTCTGTGAGACAGGTTAAACGTCTGCTGTACAACATTTTTCAGACTGTAAGACAGTTTTCTTTTTTATCTATCTTCTCCTGTTTTGTTCTGATGTTTGTGGTGTATTTAATACCTAAAGGATTCATTTGCTTTACAACATATTGTAACTACATTATATAGTTACTATTGTAAAGTGATATACTCCTAAATTAGGAACGTAACCTTATTTTGGAAAAGGAAATTTTAAGAAATAAGCTTTATTCTTTTGTTTATAGTAGACTGTAAAAAATGGTTCTTCAGATTACTTCATGTGGTAACAAGCAATTAAAACAGTGGTTTATTCAAACTATTCATTAGAGCTGAATGAAACTAGTTAATTTACTTGCTACCACATGAAGTAATTATTAGGTTGAACTGATGAACAATTTTTTGAAGTTTTGATGTGTTTTCTTGTATATATTTTTCTGGGGTTGTGAGATTTTTACTTGTTCCTGTGTGCTTTGTGTGCTTTGTAGTCTTCTTATCTTGTGATCTTATTATTCCTTAAGGGTTGTTTCTGAACATTTGTGGGGCCCTAAGCAACATCCTACTTGGGGTCTCTCAACCCACCCTGATCCTATTATTATGCAGAAATGATAAATGAAGGAATAATTGAGTGAAAAAACAGATACATATGAAGAGTTTTATTCCAAAATGCTGTATATCCATTTGTGAAAATTTTGGATTTTGCATATTAAGAGTTTTTCAAAAGAACAACAACATCATGAATAAAGGAAACACACATTTTAATTTCTCTAATAAATCTCTATTAATCATAATATAGCACCGTGAAAAGTGAAAAGCCCACTCCCAACAACATATATCATGAAAAAAGTCTATAGAAATGGTCTATAATGTGTTTTGGAACACAACCCTTCTTATATATAAATGTGGGCCTCGTTCACATAAAAGTGGGCTTCACACACATGATGGGGCCCTCTGGCGTTTCAGAAACCCTAAGCAGCTGCTTAGCAACTGCTTACACCACTTAGAGCAAGAACAAAAGAAACGACTGTTTTTCTTGCTTTAGACTTTAAAAGTCTACTTTGAAGCGCTTTCTAAACTCTGTGTAGAAAACAGCTATATGAATCGAGATTCATACTGACTAAGGTTCCATGTTCAGGTGTAAGTGAAAATAAATTTACTAGTTGCTTGCTTATCACTGCTGTAGAGCAGTGGTCTCCAGCCCTGGTCCTGGAGAGCTACCTTCATGCAGAACCTACTTCCAACCACAATTTGCCACACCTCCTCCTGCTAATCAACCTCTTCCCAAGTCCCTGATTGGCTGGATCAGAGAGTTAAGTTATTAGAGTTAAGTAAGGGACGGGGCAGCTTTTGGAAACAGGTTGGAACTAAACTCTGCAGGACAGTAGCTCTCCAGGACCAGGGTTGGTGACCACTGCTGAGGTTATCTTAATGCTGTGTTCTCCTGTGTAATCTATTGCTGTTGTCCCCCTAGTGACCGTCTGGCGCTACTACAAGTGAGGTCCATTCTGCAGCACTTGGGTCTGGACAGCACGTGTGATGACAGTATTATCGTGAAGGAAGTATGTGGTGCTGTGTCATGCCGAGCCGCACAGCTCTGTGGAGCAGGAATGGCTGCCGTTGTTGACAAAATCCGGGAGAACCGAGGACTAGACCATCTGGACATCACTGTGGGGGTGGATGGCACGCTCTACAAACTCCATCCACAGTGAGTAAACCCTTGTAATCGACGATGGTTCTCAGTCTCATTCCACCCATTGCAGCCATTGTTTTCTCTATTCTAACACAACCTGATTAAACCTAAAAAGACAGTGTTGAAATGAACCTGTTAAGATCGGATCTTTTTATTACAGAAGACTCATCAATTTTTTTCCTTCAGTCGACAATGCATGTCTTTTGTCTTTCTGCAGCTTTTCTGGAATCCTTAAGGAGACAGTGAAGGAGCTTGCCCCAAAGTGTGAGGTGGAATTTGTCCTGTCCGAGGATGGCAGTGGAAAAGGAGCCGCCCTTATCACAGCCGTGGCCCGACAGCACTATAGAGAGGCATAACAGTACTGGACTGGATCATGTTCCAGCAGCTGGAATACGGAGGGGAACTATTTTTCTATATTATACTCTGTTTTGTACGGTGTGTCATCAAACTGATTCATAAACCCCACTATGAAGCTTAAACATTCTCCACAGATGATTTTAATGTTGCTTGGTTAAAATGTTCCTTTGGTCTGTTTGTGTAAATCTGGAACATGGAAATCTGGAAATTGGAGCTTGGGAACATTCAGTGATTAATCACATGTTTGTACATACAGTCCTGCTCACCATTATTGGCACCCCGTCCTTTTTTGCATAACCTGTACAATATCTTCAGAAATAAATGTAAATGTACCAAAGTTATATCTTCAGGATTTTTTAATTGGAGGTCCAAAGTAATACAACAAAAAAAACATTGTTTTTCAACTTGCATGTTGCAATTTTAAAGAAGAAACAGAATAAACAGCATGTGCAGCAATAAAGGCACCCCTTGTTAATATTTGGTTGCACACCCTTTGGCTGTGATGACAGCCTCCAAACCTTTCTTGTAGCCATCTATAAGCTTCTTGCACTTCTCAGCTGGTATTTTTTCCCACTCTTCCTTTGCAGTTTGTTCAAGCTCTTGAATGTTTGCAGGATTCTTTTTCCCAATGGCAGATTTCAACTCACCCCAAAGATTTTCAATGGGATTGAGGTCAGGACTCATTGCTGGCCATTTCAAAACAGTCCATTTTTTCCTTTTAAACCATTCCCGTGTACTTTTGGATGTGTGCTTTGGGTCATTGTCTTGCTGGAATACCCATGATCTTCGGCTCAAACCGAGTTTTCTTACACTGGGTAGGACATTTCGCTCTAAAATCTCTTGATAATTCTCTGATTTCATGATTCCTGTGATACGGTCGAGGCCTCCAGTACCAGACGCAGCAAAGCAACCCCACAGCATTATGGATCCTCCACCATGCTTAACTGTTGGCAGGGTGTTCTTTTCCTTATAAGCTTCATTGCGCCGTCTGTAAACAAACTGTTGCTTTGCATTGCCAAAAAGCTCTATTTTTGTTTCATCTGTCCACAAAACATTGTCCCAGAATGATTGTGGTTTGTCAAGGTACTCTTTGGCAAAGATCAGTCGTTCCTTTTTATGTCTTTTCTTTAGCAATGGTTTCTTCCTTGGCCTTCGCCCATAAAGCTCTGCATGGTTTAGTGTGCGGCGTATGGTACTTGTTGAAACCATGACCCCAGACTGTTCCAGGTTGGCCTTCAGTTCTTTGGATGTTTGCCTTGGTGTTTTTTTCCACCATTCGCACCAACCTTCGAAGACTTCTCTTGTCAATTTTCCTCTTTCCCCCACGTCCAGGGAGGTTCTTGACAGTTCCATGCTTGGCAAACTTCTTAATAACATTGCGCACTGTTGAAACTGGGATACCAAGGTCTTTGGAGATGGCCTTATACCCTTTGGAAGTCTTGTGTTTGCTAATAATAGCACTTCTGATGTCCTCAGACAGCTCCTTTGTCTTCACCATTTGTCTTCACCAAATGAACATGGCCCAACGTATGGCTTTTTAAAACCCTGAAGTCATCATTCATTGGCTAATTCATGTCACATGGGCACTGAATTTGTCAAAGGTGATTATCATTTGCGATTTACCACAGGTGAGTGAAAATGTGTTTCCATACTAATTTAATGTAAAGGGTGCCAATACCAGTGTCACAGCAAGCTTTAGGTTTTTTCTGTTTTTCCCTCACATTGTTTTTTGTTTTAAATTGTTGTTTATAGTTTGCTCTTTTGTTTTAAATATGAGTGCTCTATACAAAAAAACTGTTTCAGTTGATTAATTTTTTCAGGGGATATTCCACAATATGTACTTAAACTTCATGGGTGCCAATAATGATGAGCAGGACTGTAGATGAGAATATATAAAATATAAGCTTCATACAGCACATATGTACTTTCAGTGACACGAGCAATGTTCTGCTTGTGCAGTTTTCAAATTTCACAGATGGTTTTGTTATTTATCAGTTTCATCTTTGGCTTGTCTGTATGATCAAACTCTCGTCTGGTAGGAGTGTGTGTAAATTTGAGTGTAATGGTTTAACAGCCTGAAAAATATGCCTATTTTGTGGTTAACTAATCAAAACTATGATCAGTCTCTTACCATTATACTATACCATAATATCATTAACAAAAATAAAAATTGGAAATAACAATACTACTAATAATTACAAATGTTTGTGCATACCGCACCACTTAAAAACATACTACACTGTGCTTTTCTTTTATACTACTGACAAAAAATAAAATATACAAAACACATCTAGAGCAGAAGCATCTACATTACACTACATTACATATTAATTTTTACACTATAAAGCTTGGTCAGTAGGGGGAGCAGTGCGCTTAGAGGCCACCTATGAGCACAGCCATTGGTTCATGAGCTGTGGAATGCTGTCATTTTAATTGGCTCCCTACAGAAACATCTGCATGAATTAGGGTGAATTAGGTTTCATGTAAATGAAGTGTTGGTAGGTTGGTTTCACGCTTGATTTGATACACTGAAGCTGATTCATCATTTGCGCCCAAATGTCTGCTTGTTTCCACGTCGTACGAAAGGGTCATGGGTCAGACACAGAGTAGTTTGTACATTGAAGGTAGTCGGAAAATTAATACATTAGATAATACCTATAAGCTGCAGATTCTAAAGATTATTAGTTTTTGATTATTTCTGGAACTGATTAATCTATTGACCATTATTTGGTTCACTGATTAATCTGTTGACCATTATTTGATTCACTGATTAATCAAGCCATCATGCCTTCCTCTCATGTTGCCCTGTTAAATCTTTCAAGTTCCATCTGTGTAATAACCAAATTTCTTGTTTTATGGTTCAGCAGGATATTAGACATATGGCCCCCAGCACCTCCTAAGTGTACCGCAAAGACAATGCTGTGCATCACATGAACATTATGGAGTGCTGTTGTATTTAATTAAACCAAAGTTCAGACTTTTTCCATTATCAGTGTCTAATCAACTCGTTGCAGCCCTACTCTTTATGCAGGAATGCTGTCTATGCTGTTGTAAGAATGCACCTGGATTGCTTGCTGAGCTGCCTCAGGCGTGTTTATGCAGGCAGGAGGTTGTGCAGACCAGCTCTTTTTCACTTTACCATATTTCGTTTTAGCCTGTCAGCTGAGCAGCTGACCTCACTACTGAATGTCACTCACTGGCTATAAGTGTAATTGCCCCTTTGCTGGCCTCCTCCCCCCTCTCTTTGTCTGCTCCGGGCGAGCAGGTTTGCATGGACAGGCAGAGAGAATGGCAGAGAGAGGACAGGCCAAGCTAGAGGGGGAGGTGGCTTTGTGCACTGGAATGCCATGAGTGCATTTAGACTGGCTGTGCACCAGGCAAATCAAAATTACAAACTCCTATTGCTTCCAGCATGTAGTGAAGAACTTTACATATGCACTTTACTGCACTGTTTATCATGTAAGTCTATCTAAAGACAGTGTGAGACATTGTGAGTAAGAATGCATTAAATATATCATATTCGGTTTATTGTTTCATCATAATATGAAACCGTCTATTTTGAATAAGGTAAAAATTAGTTAAAGGCACACTCAGAACGAAGAATGTGACTATTTGTACATCTGTTGTAAACATGCTTATTTGCCTTCTACAGCTGTGCCACAGTAGTCTCGAGAGATTTTATGGCTTAAAGACTAGGAAAACCCTCTTTTGATGATGTATATTGAAGGTGGAAGGAACTTTTGAAAATCTGAAGCATTTTGGGGTGAATGCTTAAAGATGGGCTGTTTGTCTTGACTGGCTGGTTATACAGAAGGAAGCCAAATAGCTGATGGTACTGCCAGCAAGTCTAATATCACTTCTGTATTTATTAGCCTCCACGTCAGCGGCTACACTAGCGATCAGGATTTCTTTATCATTATGGAGGGATTCCCAGTGATTCTATGACATATCTGTGTAATGTATGCTGGATATTGTAGTGAGAGAAGACTGAGAGACAAAACACAAAAAGGATACAAGATTGTGAATTCTGTCAAACCAGCTAAGGGATATAATGTTGTTCTACAGAATGCTACATATCATGACTAAAAATGCTAGTTTTTAGGCCGGAATGCCCCTTTAATGCATGTGTGAATATGTCTGGGATGTTATTACACCAGCAGCGTCACATGTACTGCGCATCTGAGAAATCAGTGTACTGGTCCCAGTGGATTTTGTTAATAAAATATCATTATTACACTCTATATTGTATTCAGAGAAAAACTGATGGTACTGAATGAGATTTCTGAGGTGCAGAATACACATATTTATCACTCTGCCTGCTAAATTAAGCTCCTGTAGGATTACACACTGAAGAGTTAAGTCAGGCCAGCTGCAGACCACGTCATAAATCTACACAGCAGAGGGAAAATTTTACTCATGTTAATCCTCTCCGCTAATGCTAACTAGCCTCCCTTGTCCAGGTAGAGGCCAAGGCTGCAGCAGAAAGGCAGATGTACATAGTAATGTGCTAGCATGCCCTGAAGTACACAAACAACCATTCATGAGCTTTCCTTAAGCCTCTCTCTCACACAGAATCATTCATTAATGAACTTTCCTTCAATCTATCTCCCTCTTTCACACATACACACGTGCATCTACATATATGAAGTATATGAAGTGTTAATTTGCAAAAACAGATCTCTCTGTTTAATGAATTTACATAAATGGTGTTTTTTTTTTATTGTGCATTCCAGGTAATATCAATCAAGCTGCAGTTGGATTGTTTTGATTAAGTAAAATAACTCTTCAAAATACAGGTAACTTACAAAATTAAACTTTGTTGACAAAAATAGATAACTCCAATGGTCATTTCAGTTAAACAAAGCCATGTAATGGATAAAAGTTTCTTTTGAGTGCACTATTAAACATTCCTTAATATAAAACAAGTAGGTAAAGTGCTGAAAATCACAACAAAAATCAGTCCATTAAAGGGCAATTTTAAACATCTGTAAGATCATACCTCGGAAAATCCTAAGGCTGACTCTCAAATGGCTCACTGCTCCCTATATAGTGCACTATGCAGGTTATACAATTTTGGCTTTAATACCCAAATATGGCACTATACGTCCAGAACTGTGCACACATGGCTGAATCCAAAGTGGTTCTTTGTTAGACACACTGTGCACTGTTTAAATGTGGTAGCCATTATTTTAAGACCTATGTGCTGCACTTTGTTGGGAGAAGATTTGAGATTCTGCGTAAAACAGTTAGCAGTGCTGTGTCACCTGACCCGAATATCGCGACTGATTGGCTGAACGGATTTATGGGGTTCTGCTCAAGAGCAGCACCATAGAACTTGTAGAGAGAAGAATTACCGCTCTGTCATGTCTTCCAGGTTTCTCAAACACTAGAGGGCGCTCCTGAGCAAATCCAGAATGAATGGGTTAAGATGGAGCATTTCAGCAAAATCATAGTTTATAAATACTAAAACATTTTTAAAATAAAAGAATACTTTCATTTCCTGAACAGTAAATAGCATAAACATTTCAACACCGCTGTTATATTTTAAAGAGCTTTTAAGTTATAGGAGTTTAAAACGGCACCTCATGTGTGACAATGGCGTCAATTAGTGCGAACAGCCAATGAGCTGCTCCGTTCACCAACCAATCAGCATTCACTAGCAGTAATGCTAATGTCCTACTGCCCAAAACCCATTTGCTGTAGAAAAAATGAAACATCCAGTTTTCTTTGATTTTTAGTGAAATACATCTTTCTACTTTATAAAATTAAAGGAAAGTTCTGGGCAAGTGATTAGAAACTATCTTAACTTTTCATTTTTAGCTGTTGAACTCCCATTCATTGAGGACTTGCTCGCAGGCATAATCTGGGGTTTTGCCATCATGTTTTTGATACAACAGGGGAAATCAGAAGAGGCCAGGCTCCTCATAAACTGGCTCTGGCAGCACTGCGTTCGACTGTTTCTGCTGTAAATGTACAATGTACAATAACGGCTTTTGTGACAAAACGTATTTAAGGTTCAGAGTGCTCTGTGTATTAAAAATAACTTGCTACTGTCAGCTTGTTTTTTTTAAAGAATGACGTTTATCATTTTTTGCAAATGAATTCTTCAATTTAAGTACACCAAATCCAGTGGGGAACCCTCAGTGCTTTTAGGCCTTTTAGCCTAATGATTTCTGTGAAATAAAAAATGTATGTCTGTAATTTTTAGTTCATTTTTACCTTTTTTTTTGGAAACAAAAGAGTTACATTTTTAAAAACACCCAACAGAAAATTATCCAGTCAGAATGTTTTTCTCTGTGGTATCCAGGTAGACTCAGCCAAGTTAGACACAAGCCAACCAACTTCTGAAGCTGAACTGTTAGGATCTGACAGTGGAACCAACCAGTCACGATTTTATTTACAATGGGTGGGACCAACTTTGTGAAAAAAATGTACTCTGGGCTTTTTCAAAGTCCTGAAAAATGGCCTGCGAAAGGTCCAAAGCATTTCAGTCAGTTGTTAGAAATAAAAAACAGCTGTAGCAGCTCTGTGCCAGAGCGCTCTACTGAAAGAGTCACTGTGAAACTGTTCAGTTCATGGAAGTTAATGGGAGAAACTATTTATTCCAAGTAATTTTGGACCATTTTTATTGATCTATTCATCACAAAATTTTGACACAATGTAAAGGGTATTTTTGGCGATTTCAAAATATGAAGAAAAAAACAAAAATGGAGATAATAGGTTTTGTCCCGACAGCAATGATATGTCAATGTTTATGTCAGAGTTTCAATAAAACATAGAGCATCTTTTACAAGCTTCACATATCTGTGTTTTGTCTAGAACAGTCATAAAAAATGATCATGTGAATCCCTATTAGCCCAGCGCTAATGCACTACTAGAATCCCATAAAGGCGCTAACAAAAATTAGCATTCTCATAGAGGTGTTTTTTTGTTCTTGTTTTTCACACAGTTGTGACATTTGTGGCTCAAACTGAAGGCCTAGCTCTAACAGTCATGGTTCTCTACTGACAATATTGGTTGCCTGACATTAGCAAAACAGTTGGAGACAGCACTGATCCTGAGTATTGAGATTTAGCAAAAATATCAGAGGGAAAAAGAAAGAATATGATCCAAATCTATTCTGATGTCATTATCTGTGTATTTATTCCTGAGGGGTAGTGGAGTGTTTGAGTAGTTTTAGCATGATGGTCTACATTTAGATCTAAGGTGAAGTGATGTGAATTCAAAAAAGTGAATAGAAAATAACAAATTTTTTATATAACAATTTTAGATCGGCATCGGTATCAGAA